TGGCTTAAGAGTCACATAAGGTTTATTGGTGAAGTGTGTTCCCCGGCATGAACCAGATCAGAGCAGAAATGCTTGCTTGACAATCTCCGACGACCACCAAAAGGACAGATGAGATACAAAAAGACAATAGTGCAATACTGTAATACTCTTTCATTTAATTAAAACCAAAGTATTATTGCACTCACATTTCACAAGATAAAAAGAAGCCTTAGATGATTGAAAACTTTCCCACATCAATAGGGATTTAGACCGGCAACAATTTATGGCTCCCACATCAAAGGGTAGTAGACATTTGTGGGGTTTTTATTATTTATTTCAGGTACTTATATAGCGCCGTCAATTTACACAGCACTTTACATATATATTGTACATTCACATCAGTCCCTAACCCCTCAAGGGGCATACAATCTAAGGTCCCTAACCCTCAAGGGGGTGTACAATCTAAGGTCCCTAACCCTCAAGGGTTGTACAATCTAAGGTCCCTAACCCTCAAGGGGTGTACAATCTAAGGTCCCTAACCCTCAAGGGGTGTACAATCTAAGGTTCCTACCCCTCAAGGGGCGTACAATCTAAGGTTCCTACCCCTCAAGGGGCGTACAATCTAAGGTCCCTACCCCTCAAGGGGCGTACAATCTAAGGTCCCTAACCCTCAAGGGGTGTCCAATCTAAGGTCCCTAACCCTCAAGAGATGTACAATCTAAGGTCTCTAACCCTCAAGGGGTGTACAATCTAAGGTCCCTAACCCTCAAGGGGTGTACAATCTAAGGTCCCTAACCCTCAAGGGGTGTACAATCTAAGGCCCTAACCCTCAAGGGGTGTACAATCTAAGGTCCCTAACCCTCAAGGGGCGTACAATCTAAGGTCCCTAACCCTCAAGGGGTGTACAATCTAAGGTCCTAACCCTCAAGGGGCGTACAATCTAAGGTCCCTAACTCACATTCATACATACACATACTAGGGACAATTTAGACAGGATCCAATTAACCTACCAGCATGTCTTTGGAGTGTGGCAGGAAACCGGAGTACCCGGAGGAAACCCACGCAGGCACAGGGAGAACATGCAAACTCCAGGCAGTTGGTGCTGTGGTTGGGATTCCAACCAATGACCCGAGTACTGCCAGGTGGACAAGCGAACCATTTAGCCACTGTGGGATTCAGCTTCAATGGAGAGCTCACAGACAGGTAACTCAAGCCACATGTAGGTTTAAGGGCTTTCTGCCTGTGTTTGTTGGTCAACGTGTACAGCAGAACAAAGAGGTTCCCGTGCATGGGGTAGGAGTTACAGTCCAAAACAGTTATTAAGCCTCCTGACTCGTAAATAGACCTCACTGGTCTGCCTGTTATGTTGGTGGGTATTTTACCTTGTAAACAGCAGCATTAATTATTTGGATTCTATAATAATTTTAAAATAATTTTTTAGGTGCAGGCTAATTTCACACATGTGGCCTTGTATGGTTCTCCTGAAACCACTCGCTCATCCCCCCCTTTCCTGACCTGCTGGGCTGCATGCTCAGATAAGGGTCTGGTATGGATTTTGGGGAGGACCCCCATGCCATTTTTTTTTTTTTTTTAATTGTTGGGCAACGCCGACAATTCTTTTTCCATTCAGCTGTCAGCGAGGAACCCCACTGACAGCTGAAACATCAATTAATGTTTCACTACTAAAATACCGCATGACTTAAAGCGGAGTTCCAGCTGAAAAAAAACACGGCTGGTTTCACCGGTCACCTTCTCTCCCTGGCGCCGGCATCTTCAGTGTGGGCACCCAGCTGTGACAGCCAGGTGACCACGGAGTGCGCGAAGCATGGCCCATGTGCGCGAAGCTCTGCGCTTTGTGAATGGCCGCAGAGCTAGAGTATATATGCTGAACATAATACTACACAAAACATTAGATGTTGCCATGGTTTAATTGCACATAACATGTAAACATTTACAGTGCAGGGAGGAAAAAGTATGTGAACCTTTGGACTTAATAACTGGTTGACCCTCCTTTGGCAGCAATAACCTCAACCAAACGTTTCCTGTAGTTGCAGATCAGACCAGTACAACGATCTGGAGTCATTTTGGACCACTCCTCTTCACAAAACTGTTTCAGTGTAGCAATATTCTTGGGATGTCTGGTGTGAATCGCTCTCTTAAGGTCATGCCACAGCATTTCAATCGGGTTGAGGTCAGGACTCTGACTGGGCCACTCCAGAAGGCGTATTCTGTGCTGTTGCAGCCATTGTTTTGTTGAATTACTTGTATGCTTTGGGTCATTGTCCTGTTGCATCACCCATCCTCTGCGGAGCTTCAGTTGGCAGACAGATGGTCGTACGTTTTCCTGCAAAATGTCTTGATAAACTCTGGAATTCATTTTCCCATCAATGACAACAATCCGTCCAGGCCCTGAGGCAGCAAAGCAGCCCCAAACCATGATGCTCCCTCCGCCATGTTTTACAGTGGGGATAAGGTTTTCATGTTGGTGTGCTGGGCCTTTTTTTCTCCACACATAGTGTTGTGTGTTCTTCCCAAACAACTCAATCTTGGTTTCATCTGTCCACAGTATATTCTGCCAGTAGTGCTGTGGAACATCCAGGTGCTCTTTTGCAAACTTCAAACGTGCTGCAATATTCTTTTTGGACAGCAATGGCTTCCTCCGTGGTGTCCTCCCATGTACTCCATTCTTGTTTAATGTTTTCCTTATTGTAGATGTGGTCAACAAAAATGTTAGCATGTGCCAGAGATTTCTGTAGGTCTTTAGCTGACACTCTGGGATTCTGCTTTACCTCATGCAGCATTCTGCGCTGTGCACTTCCAGTCATTTTTACAGGACGACCACGCCTAGGGAGAGTAGCAACAGTGCTAAACTTTCTCCATTTGTAGACAGTCTGTCTTACCGTGGACACATGAACATCAAGGCTTTTGGAGATACTTTTGTAACCCTTTCCAGCTTCATGCAAGTCAATAATTGTTGATCGTAGGTCTTCCTACAGCTCTTTTCTGTGAGGCATGGTTCACATCAGACAGTGCTTCTTGAAACCAGTAAAGACAAAACAGGTGTGTGTTTTTTAAGGGCAGGACAGCTGTCAGCAACACATCCAATATCATCACACTGATTGGAGTCAAGATTGGCTCACTTCTGGCTCCAATTAGCTCTGGGAGAAGTCATTAAGCTAGGGCCTCACACATACTTTTTCCTCCCTGCACTGTGAATGTTTACATGTTATGTGCAATTAAACCATGGCAACATCTAATGCTTGTGTAGTATTATGTTCAGCAGACTGTGTTCTTCTATTGTTGTGACTTAGATGACGTTCAGAGCACATTTTATGCCCAGTTCATGCAAAACTCCACGTAATCCCAAGGGGTTCACATACTTTTTCTTGCAACTGTATGCTTCCAATCGCCTAGGTGATCGCAGTGGAAATGGGAGCGGGTACCTGTCATTATTATTATTATACAGGATTTATATATTATTATTATACAGGATTTATATATATATTATTATTATTATTATACAGGATTTATATATATTATTATTATTATACAGGATTTATATAGCGCCAACAGTTTGCTCAGCGCTTTACAATATAACGGGAGACAATACAGCAACAATACAGTTCAATACAAGAGGAATAGGAGGGCCCTGATCCTTGGAGTTTACAATCTAAGAGGGAGACAAATTTGGGTACCCGCCCCCCCCCCCCCCATTCCCCAAAGGTGCCAATCCTTAATAGGGAGCAGGGGACAAAGCATTAAAGCAGAAGTTCCCTTTTTGGGTGGAGCTCCGCTTTAATAATAGAACTCATGCAGTATTTTAGTAACTGAGCGGTATCTTACCACTTACTCAGATATGGTAGGATACCGCTCGGTTGTTCGATTCGTGTTCAGTTTGCAGTCGAACATTCTGTAGGTTCGGAGGGTGTTCGGCCCATCACTAGTGGTGATCAGGAACACTGACTGGTGACACTTTTTTTTTCTTTTTTTTGTCTTTTTTTTACATACTTTCATCAGAGTAGTTCAGTGTCACCATAATAACACTGTAGTACCCTGGGGGGAGGGGTGTGATCAGGGATGATTTTTTTACACTTTGATTGCTGTTGATGTAACAGCATGCTTTGAACTGTCATGAATGAGTTTCATTGATAAAAGCTGTGATTACTAGAGATCTTTGATTGGCTACAGCTAATCACATGGTACAGGGTCCAGGTACCATGTGATAGCTGTGGGCCAATCACAGCATGATTGTATAGAAAGCACAGCTGTTATGAATGAGATTCATTCATAACAGCTTTGTTGGCATTGTGATCCCTGGGCTACTCAAAGCAGCCTGATACCGGGAGCTTCAATCTGTTGTGTCCGGTGGACACATCGGTCCCTGGAGCCGCACGCTGCATGCCCCTAACCTGGAGCAGGCTGCATGATGTACAGGGTTTGTATTCCTATAGACTTGTATATGAATACAAAACGTGTTTAAAGTGAACAAAAGGCAGTCAGCACAGGTCCTCAGACTGATTGATGATATCAGTGTCGTTGTCCATGTTTAACCTGATAGGGCTCATTCACAGCAGCAAGCCACGCTGATTGCACAGCCGCTGGAGTGAACCGATTGCATTCTTTTTTTTTTTTCTTCACAAGTGACTTTTCACTAAGTTCTATTCACACAACAATGTTACAATGCGTTGGAAGCGTTAAAATTTATCAAAACCCAAGAACAAATATCTGACGCATGGCAGCTTACTAGTCCTTAGATGCGGTGGCTGCATTAGTTTTCAGAAGGTTGTGTCGGCGGGCAAATGAGGTTAAGCTGATATTTTTCTTGCAAATTAAAAAAAATGATAATTTACAGTAGAATATTTTTTGTGATGTTTCCAAAACTTTCACGGGCTTGTTTCTTGACTTTGAACCTTCTAAAACTGGTGACTGGTATGACCCACATCTTTGGGAACAATCAGGAACGTCAGTCTTTTGGTGCTGTACCAGCGACATCCACGCAGCCAAATACCTGGTGTGGGTGATTAACTAGACGTTGTACATGGGGGAAACTGGTGTCCGCCGCCCTTAAAGGGGTGCTCCGGTGCGCTGTTGAAGTGCCCCATGAAGAAGATGGCGAGGGTGCCCACCATGAAGAGGGGCAGAGCTCCCCAGAAGCACAAGACGTCTATAACTTTCCCGATCAAGATCCAGTTTTCCATTTCCTAGAGATGAAGAGAAGAATCCAATCACTGCTGGGTTACTTCTTAAGTCTAGTTCCAGTATTATTCTCTTGTTTTGGATGGAATGGGAAAGACTTACAGCGCATCCAGAAAGTATTCACAGCGCTTAACTTTTGCCACATTTTGTTATGTTACAGCCTTATTCCAAAATGGATTAAATTCATTTTTTTCCTCAACATTCTACAAACAATACCCCATAATGACAACGTGAAAGAAGTTTGTTTTTAAATCTTTGCAATTTATTAAAAATAATAAATGAAAAAAAACACATGTACTGTACATACTGTAAGTATTCCCAGCCTTTACTCAATACTTTGTTGAAGCCCCGTTAGTACCAATTCCAGCCTCAAGTTGTTCTGAGTATGATGCTACAAGCTTAGCACACCTATTTTTGGGCAATTTCTCCCATTCTTCTTTGCAGTATCTCTCAAGCTCCATCAGGTTAGATGGGGAGCGTTGGTGCACAGCCATTTTCAGATCTCTCCAGACATGTTCAATCAGGTTCAAGTCTGGGCCACTACAGGACATTCACAGAGTTGGCCTGTAGCCACTCCTTTGCTTTGTGGGCTGTGTGCTTAGGGTCGTTGTCCTGTTGAAAGATGAACCGTTGCCCCAGTCTAAGGTCCAGAGCGCTCTGAAACAGGTTTTCATGAAGGATGTCTCTGTACATTGCTGCAATTCATCTTTCCTTTGATCCTGACTAGTCTCCCAGTTCCTGCCGCTGAAAAACATCCCCACAGCATGATGCTGCCACCACCATGCTTCACGTATTGGCCAGGTGGTGAGCGGTGCCTGGTTTCCTCCAGACATGACGCTTGGCATTCAGGCCAAAGAGTTCAATCTTTGTTTCATCAGACCAGAGAGTTTTGTTTCTCATGGTCTGAGAGTCCCTCAGGTGCCTTTTGGCAAACTCCAGGCAGGCTGCCATTTGCCTTTTACTGAGGAGTGGCTTCCGTCTGGCCACTCTACCATACAGACCTGATTGGTGGAGTGCTGAGGAGATGGTTGTTCTTCTGGAAAGTTCTCCTCTCTCCACAGAGAAATGCTGGAGCTCTTTCAGAGTGACCATCAGGTGCTTGGTTACCTCCCTGGCTAAGACCCTTCTCCCTCGCTCACTCATTTTGGCTGGGCAGCCCGCTTTAGGAAGATTCCTGGTGGTTCCAAACTTCTTCCATTTATGGATGATGGAGGCCACTGTGCTCATTGGGACCTTCAATGATGCAGAAATGTTTCTGTACCCTTCCCCAGATCTGTGCCTTGATACAATCCTGCCTAGGAGGTCTACGGACAATTCCTTGGACTTCATGGCTTGCTTTGTGCTCTGCCATGCACTGTTACCTGTGGGACCTTCTATAGACAGGTTTATGCCTTTCCTAATCATATCCAATCAACTGAATTTCCCGCAGGTGGACTCCAATCAAGTTGTGGAAACATCTCAAGGATGATGAGTGGAAACAGGATGCACCAGAGCTCAATTTTGAGTGTCATGGCAAAGGCTGTGAATACTTATATACATGCGGGGTTTTTTTTCGTTTTTTATTTTTAATAAATTGCAAAGATTTCAAAACAAACTTCTTTCACATTGTCATTATGGGGTATTGTTTGTAGAATGTTGAGGAAAAATATGAATTTAATCCAGTTTGGAATAAGGCTGTAACATAACAAAATGCGGCAAAAGTTAAGAGCTGTGAATACTTTCTGCATGCACTGTAAAATGTCTGTATGGTTCCTATTCATGTCTGTTCATTTCCTGTCCCTGTGTCACCCAAACAAAAAATGGATGGGGCGGTGGTCACCAGAGCATACAGGCGCAAACAGCCATAACAAAGGTATGACCTTTCCTCACTTCCCGTAGTTTTCCCTTCCATGGCATCAGTCTATGGCAGCATACATGTGGTAGTATGCTGCCATGCTGGTGCCAGGAAAACAGAAAATTGTATCAAATACGTACCGTCATTTTCCTTTTCTGACACCAATCCATAGCAGCATACATGTTATTATTATACAGGATTTATATAGCGCCAACAGTTTAAGCAGCGTTGTACAACATAAGGGCAGACAGTACAATTACAATACAAATGAATACAGGTGGAATCAGAGGGCTCTGCTCATTAAAGCTTACAATCTAAGAGGGAGGGTCAAGAGATACAAAAGGTAATAACTGTGGGGGATGGGCTGAAGGACAAAATACATGTTCACTTGTTTGGTGGGGGCAAGATAGGCCTTTATGAAGAGATGAGTTTTCAGGGATTGTCTAAAAGTGAACAGAGATGAAAATAGTCTGACACATTGGGGAAGGGAGTTTCAGAGGATGGGAGCGGCTCTGGAGAAGTCCTGGGGGTGAGCATGGGAGGAGGTGACAAGGGAACTAGAGAGCAGGAGGTCTTGGGAGGAATGAAGAGAATGATTTGGCTGGTATTTTGAGGCCAAGTTAGTGATGTAACTAGGGGATGGCTTTATAAGTTGTTGTAAGTATCTTGAATTTTATTCATTAGGTGAACGGGAACCAGTGGAGGGATTGGCAGAGAGGGGTGGAGAACACTGAATGGAGGCCAGTGGAGGGGTTGGCAGAGAGGGGTGGAAAACACTGAATGGAGGCCAGTGGAGGGATTGGCAGAGAGGGATGGAGAACACTGAATGGAGGCCAGTGGAGGGGTTGGCAGAGAGGGGTGGAGAACACTGAATGGAGGCCATTGGAAGGGTTGGCAGAGAGGGTGTGAGAACACTGAAGGAGGCCAGTGGAGGGTTGGCAGAGAGGGGTGGAGAACACTGAAGGAGGCCAGTGGAGGGGTTGGCAGAGAGGGGTGGAGAACACTGAAGGAGGCCAGTGGAGGGGTTGGCAGAGAGGGGTGGAGAACACTGAAGGAGGCCAGTGGAGGGGTTGGCAGAGAGGGGTGAAGAACTCTGAATGGAGGTAAGTGAAGGGGTTGGCAGCGAGGGGTAGCAGACACTGAACGGTTGGTAAGGTGGATGAGTCTGGCAGCAGCATTCATGATGGATTGAAGGGGGGATAGCCTATGCAAAGGTAAGCCAGCAAGGAGGGAGTTGCAGTAGTCGAGGTGAGAGATGACCAGGGAGTGAATTAGAAGCTTTGTGGTGTCATTGTTTAGTAAGGGGCTTATCTTGAAGATGTTATGGAGGTTGAGGCAGCAAGCTTTGGACAGTGATTGGATGTGGGACCGAAAGGATAGTTCAGAGTCCAGGATTACGTCTAGCACCCTGGAATGTGGGGACAGGTTGATGGTTGAGCCGTTGATTTTGACATGTGGTACATGTGGTAGTATGCTGCCATGTTGGTGCCAGGATAACAGACAATTGTTTCAAATATTTACCATAATTTTCCTTCCCTGGCACCAATCCATGGCCGTATACTACCATATGTATGCTGTCATATTGGCACCAGGAAAATGTGTTTTTAGTCCCCATTTTAGAGATTTCCTCTCACTTCCTTTCCTGCCAGGAATTGTTGGGAAATCTTCCTAGTAGGGACACAGACAGCAGTGGCAGATTGGGACTCTTCCCTGCTACATACAAACCAAAATAAATTTGGAATTGTGTTTTAAAGGAGGCCTTTCCTGACCCCTATATTTTTTTTTAGAAACTAATTCAAAGGGCTTCTAAAATAAAAAAATATATATCACACTATTAAATAAAAAGTTGGGCTCTGAACATAGCAAAAGTTAAACCAAAAGGAAGTCATATACCTGTATAGAAGAGCATAAATCCTTACCTCTCTCATGCCGCTGATCAATGATTTGATGAAGAGGAGTCGTCCATTGATGTTTCTCCAAAAACCGACAATTCCGGGATTGTTGATCTCTTAGGTTCTTTGCTAGGCTCAGTGGTTCCTCCCGCCAATCACCACATCACTACATCACACAATAGTGATGTGGCAGCTGGTGGATGGAGCCAAAGAACGCAATAGGGATGGCAGTCCATCACACGTGGATGCCTCGGATACTAAAGTTTCCTTGGACTTTTGAAGAGAGCTAAGATCTTCGTTGGCACCTGCCATAAAGGTATTAGGAATCTTGTCTTGCAGGTAACTTTTTTTTTACCCCTGATCGCGTGTTGTATTACTACGCTTCTGTATTATATGGCTATATGGTCAAAGGTAAATTTTTTTAACTAGTGTAATGCAAATGTAAATTGCCTTACCTGCCAAATAGATTGTAAATAAAGTCTACAGAGAGGTTAAAGGATAAGTGTACTTTCAGCAAAGTGCATTTATTCAGTTTACACCTTTAAGCTGATCAAACAAATTAAACAGCCACCTCTCCAGAGCTGCATACTTACCTTGATCCTTCAGACACATCCTCCAAGAATTCCACACCACAAGACCGGTCTCCTGGCCACGCCTGCACAGAAGAGCCCCATAAAAGTCTATGGGGCTCATCTCCAAGAATTCCACACACAAGACCGGGTCTCCTGGCCACGCCTGCACAAGACCGGGTCTCCTGGCCACACGCCTGCACAGTAGAGCCCCATAAAAGTCTATGGGGCTCATCTCCAAGAATTCCACACCACAAGATCGTTCTCCTGGCCACGCCTGCACAGTAGAGCCCCATAAACGTCTATGGGGCTCATATCCAAGAATTCCACACCACAAGACCGGTCTCCTAGCCACGCTTGCACAGTAGAGCCCCATAAAAGTCTATGGGGCTCATCCCCAAGAATTCCACACCACAAGACTGGGTCTTCTGGCCACGCCTGCACAGTAGAGCCCCATAAAAGTCTATGGGGCTCATATTCAAGAATTCCACACCACAAGACCGGTCTCCTGGCCACGCCTGCACAGTAGAGCCCCATAAAGGTCTATGGAGCTCATCTCCAAGAATTCCACACCACAAGACCGGGTCTTCTGGCCACGCCTGCACAGTAGAGCCCCATAAAAGTCTATGGGGCTCATATTCAAGAATTCCACACCACAAGACTGGTCTCCTGGCCACACCTGCACAGTAGAGCCCCATAAAACTCTATGGGGCTCATCTCCTGGCTGGAGATGGAGCCCCATAAAAGTCTATGGGGCTCATCTCCTGGCTGGAGATGGAGCCCCATAAAAGTCTATGGCGCTCATCTCCTGGCTGGAAATGGAGGTGGACATACCGCACAGAAGGGGGGTGAGATCTGGTAGGTCAGCCGTAAGGGGCATAAAAGACAAGTGCACTTTATCTGAAAGTGAACCTAAGTTTTAAAGTGGAAATAAAGGCAAAAAAATAAGAAATTGTGAAGAGACATGCTTTTTATTGCAGAAGAAGCTGGGAGCAGATGCTGGGGAAGGACCTTGCAGACCATTGGAGATAGGTGAGTATTCTTGTCTTTAGTTCTGCATTAAGGATTTAACTTAGATGGCTGTAATCCAAATAATCATGCCAGATGGCAAAGCTTGATCCTTCATATCTCTACAGACCACACTGCGGTTAAGCAATGCAACCTGGTCCAGCTTGTGATTATACAATGAAGGTGCAACAGTGCACATAAAATCATTCTCCAGCTCTGCCCCCCTTGCAATCATGTTCATAGGCAGAGACTGACAGCACTGTAGTCATTTAGTACTTTTTCACATGTGCCTTTTGCTGAAACTGATGGAAATGCACTGGGTGGGTTCAGGGGCGGACTGACAACTCATGGGGCCCCCGGGCAATAGGGGATCATGGGGCCCCTATTTCCTTGCCCAAACTCAAAAAAGCCTATGAAAAAGGTACCAGGGGTATCTCATGGGGCCCCCTACTGACCCCGGGCCCTCGGACAGTGCCCAAGTTTCCAAATGGTCAGTCCGCCCCTGGGTGGGTTGGACGCACTGGCCTAGTGGGTAGAACTTAACTGTATGGTACTGGAAGTCTCCACAGGCAAGGTCACCAGAGCCCTGGTAAGTACTGTATATGTAAAAGAAGTGCAGAACATGGGGGGTGGGGCTGAGTATTATGAAGTTAAATATTAAACATTTTCCATGTGGCAGTCCAGTAAAATGTTGCATAAATCTCATGTAAGTCATTTCTGGCAAACCATTAGTGTGCACAGGACTCACCGCGCTGGTCTTATTCTGCTCCTTTGTGCTGGAGGTGATGAAGTTGCAGGCCTCCACACACTCCTTTATCTCCGGGGCACAGTGGGCCAGATTCTTAAATAAGGGAGTGGTCACTCCAACATCAAATCCGTCAACTGCAACACAGAAAGATGGTTGGTTACTACCATTGACCTAAAATAGACCATTACAGAATCCATGTCCATCACTAGATGTCTCTGCTCTCTGATCTGCCTCGTTCCTCTCAGTGGCTGGGAATGGTCTTGTGCTACACTTTAACTCAACTCTCCCCCTTTGTTATCAGTTAAACCCCAACATCGGGTTCCAGATCCCTCCCCTCATTGCCACCTTCCCCTAATAGGAGCACCCCCTAAACCCCTCAAATCCATTAGCCATACCTTTCCTCTAGATGTCTATGATCCAGTTGGGCAACAGCACAGGTCCTCTTCACCCTCTTCTTTCTCTGGCCTGTGTAATGTCAAAGCACAGCCCTTTAGAGCAGGGTTTCTCAACCAGGCTTCCATGGAACCCTAGGGTTCCTCCAAAGGTTGTTAGGGGTTCCTTGAGCAATGAGCAATTTCTGCCTCTCAGATAAGTTCCCACTGACACCATTGATCTTTTTAGATATCTGCAAGGGGGTAATTCTTCCCAGTAACCACAAGTATAAGGAGAATTTTTCCCACATATGTATCATGAGTTTTAGATATAGTCATTTTAGCAGGGGTTCCCTTAGACTTGAAAGTTATCTTAGGGTTCCTCTGTCTCGAAAAGATTGAGAAAGACTGCTCTACAGAATTCTTCTGTGAGGGATGGGCTTTTGGAACCATAGGCCCACAGGAAGTGGACTGAATATCAAGTGGGTGTCACTGAGTATGCAAAAAGGACCAGTGCTAGATCGCTGACAAGTCTGTTGACAAGTTCTAGATCCCTCCCCTCATTGCCACCTTCCCGTAATAGGAGCACCCCCTAAACTCCTCAAATCCATTAGCCATACCTTTCCTCTCTAGGTGTCTATGATCCAGTTGGGCAACAGCACAGGTCCTCTTCACCCTCTTCTTTCTCTGGCCTGTGTAATGTCATAGCACAGCCCTTTGTAGGATTCTCCTGCGAGGGATGAGCTCTTGGCATCATGGGCCCACAGGACGTGGACTGAATGTCAAGTGGGTGTCATTGATCATAGAAAAAGGACCAGTGCTAGATTGCTGACAATTAATTCTTGGAAGCATCCCAGCCATAGCACCACCTGCCTGGAGTTTGTATGTTCTCCCTGTGCCTGTTTGGGTTTCCTCTGGGTACTCCAGTTTCCTCCCACACTCCAAAGACATGCTGGTAGGTTAATTGGCTCCTGTCTAAATTGGCCCTAATATGTGTATGTATGAATGTGAGTTAGGGACCTTAGATTGCACACCCCTTGAGGGTTAGGGACCTTAGATTGTACGCCCCTTGAGGGTTAGGGACCTTAGATTGTACGCCCCTTGAGGGTTAGGGACCTTAGATTGTACGCCCTTGAGGGTTAGGGACCTTAGATTGTACGCCCCTTGAGGGTTAGGAACCTTAGATTGTACGCCCCTTGAGGGTTAAGGACCTTAGATTGTACGCCCCTTGAGGGTTAGGGACCTTAGATTGTACGCCCCTTGAGGGTTAGGGACCTTAGATTGTACGCCCCTTGAGGGTTAGGGACCTTAGATTGTACGCCCCTTGAGGGTTAGGGACCTTAGATTGTACGCCCCTTGAGGGTTAGGGACCTTAGATTGTACGCCCCTTGAGGGTTAGGGACCTTAGATTGTACGCCCCTTGAGGGTTAGGGACCTTAGATTGTACACCCCTTGAGGGTTAGGGACTGATGTGAATGTACAATATATATGTAAAGCGCTGCGTAAATTGATGGCGCTATATAAGTGCCTGTAATAAATAAATAAAATAGCACCAAAGAGGATGTGAGTGCTGCAGCTGGAGATGCTTTTTTATTTTTAAATGCTGCTAGGGGGAGCCATTTTTTTAAAAATCTGCCCAAGCTTGGGAATTGTGTTTCCCCGTATTCTTGTACCTTCCAGTTTTTTTGTTCCCACCATCTGCTAACGTTCTGTATCTAGAATTGTCTATGGAAGATTGATGAGTTAATTGGTTTTCCTGTAGGCTTGTCAAATCTCAGAAAAATAATACAGTTAATAATTTACAAATTTCCTGGGTTCCTGAATTATATAACTTCGGGTGGAAACAATTTAAATATTCAGCCAAATCAAAATGTTTGCAAATCATTAATTCTCCTGATCATCACTCCTATGGAGCTTCTCTGAGGACAGTGCAATATGCAAGAGGATATCCCCATTAGAGACATAAGGTGCACCCAACAGGACCTCAGAGTGACCTTCTAAAGCCCCAGTCACAATTGCAATGGCTTGGAGTGCAATGCCCTTATTTTTGGGAAATAGCTGAGAAAATCCTACCTAGCTGCTTAATCCAACCAAACCAATCAACTTCCTTCCCTGGAAACAAAAATGGGGGGGTGTGAAGTTGATTGGCTTTGTTGGATGTAAAAGTGGGGAACAGTTTTCTTTGCTTTTTTCCACCATATCTACAGCCACAGGCTCTGCTTTTACTACATAAAGGTTGTACTTCAGTCCTCATGCACACGGGACGTTTTTACAGTGGCTGTTTTTGGCTTTTGACGATTCTTTCTACACAACTTTGGCCATTTTTCAATATATTTCAAAAGATGCACACCCCACATGGAAGAAAAATATATTTGAGATATATTTTAAAAATATTCTTCCCAAATATATTGACATATATTTGAAATGCTACAACTTTGGCCATATTCTCTCTCTCTCTCTCTCTCTCTCTCTCTCTCTCTCTCTAAATCTATATATATATATATATATATATATACTGTATGTTGAAATGCATTTTTATTACAAAATATATAAATATTTTATTACATTTATTACAAATATTACAAATTTTAAATATTTTTCAAATATTCTTCCCAAATATATTGACATATATTTGAAATGCTACAACTTTGGCCATATTCTCTCTCTCTCTCTCTCTCTCTCTCTATATATATATATATATATATATATATATATATATATATATATATATATATATATATATATATATACACACACTGTATGCTGAATTACATTTATTAAAAATATTACAAAATTTTAAATATATTCTTCAAATATTCTTCCCAAATATATTGACATATATTTGAAATGCTACAATTTTGGCCATATTATATATTTGAATAAATATATATATATATATATATATATATATATATATATATATATTTTTTTTTTTATATATATATATATATAATATATATATTCAAATATATAATATGGCCAAAATTGTAGCATTTCAAATATATGTCAATATATTTGTGAAGAATATTTGAAGAATATATTTCAAATATATTTTTCTTCCATTTGGGATGTGTGTCTACATGAAGAGTTATACTGCCTGTGGCTTCTGCCCAGTCAGCAAGTAGCCATACTGTCCACAAAGACACGGTCAATGAACAATGCAGTAATCACCCAAAATATGTGCTCTCCAGAAATACACTAAATTTCCCCACCCGTTGGTCTGTGGCCTTCCCGAACCTTACTTGGTTTGTTGCCAGGTGCACCTTTACCACCATGGATGTAAAACGAGGCAGCCATTTTGTCATCTGAACCAATCTTCAAACTCTAAATTCACGGCAAACTTTCAGGGGCCAAAGTACAAAAACTGCAGCAAAAAAAAAACAGTGACCTGAGCGACCAATCAAAATCAATCGTGAAATGTGGGAAGATGGCTGATTGGCTGGTCTCTGCTCCACATTTGCTCCAGTTCTTGTACATTGGACTCTCCGTCTAGATCCTAATTTGGGGATGTACAATTCCTATAGCCCGATGCCCGCGACATGCAGTTTCGGGCCCCGGGCAAGAGTTTTTTCCCTATATTTAGCCCAGGAATTAGAGCCGATAATCAGATCTCTTGTAAAAGGGATCCAAGCAGCTAACTAGCCACTGGATCGCTTTTACAAGCAGCGGAAGAGAACATCCCACCTTCTGCTGGCTGTCCTGTTGTAATAGGGCACCCGAGCGACCATCTGGTGCCTCCACTCTGATATAGGAAACAGGAAATGACAAGCATACATCACTTCCGGGTTCTCCGGATGTAAATGGCGCCATTTTTAAAAAATGGAAAGTATGTGGTCACACCGATCTTGTACGATCAAATCCTTTTAAGGGCAGAGGAGGGATGTGGGGGTCTTATTGACCCCAGATCTCTCCGTAAGGAGCACCGGTCACCAGAGGTGTCCCTAGGGTTGGTGTCACCCGGTGCGGTAACACTTGGTGACACCCCCGCTGACGATCCCCGTAGAATGGATCGGATCTGCAGATTGAGCATAATGGATCAGACTCCGATCCATTATGCTCAATCCGCAGATCCCATCCATCCAGCGGGGATCGTCGGCTTTCTTTACAACTTACCTTTTCGTGGAGCGGGTATACATCCTCTGTGACAGCAATAGGCAGTGACAGGCAATGGCATCCCAAGGCAGGTGCGGGGGGTGCGGCCCGCACAGAGTGACACCGACCACACGGGGTGACACCGGACCCGCTCCACGAAAAGGTAAGTTGTAAAGCAAGCCGACGATCCCCGCAGGATGGATCGGTTCAATCCTGCAGGGATCATTGGCTTTCTTTGCAATTTACCTTTTTGTGGAGCAGGTCCGGTGTCACCTCGAATAGGTTGCATGCCGACGATCCCCGCAGGATGGATCGGATCTGCAGTCCGGTGTCACGGTCCGGTGTCACCCCATATAGGTTGCATGCCGACGATCCCTACAGGATGGTTCAGATCTGCGGATTGGGGAGCATAATGGATCGGATTCCCCGTGCAATCGGTGTCACCCGGTGTGGGCCGCACCCCCCGCACCTGCCTCAGGACTCCACTGCCTGTCACTGCCTATTGCTGTCACAGGGGATGTATACATTCCTTGTAAAAGCAATAAAAGTGATTAAAAAATTAAAAAAAAATAAAGCGATCGCGTTAAAATAATTTAAAAATGTTTTTTTAAAGCACCCCATCTCCGCGCACACAGGCGAACGCATGCGCCGGTCCTGCACACATGCAAACAGAACTCGGTCCACACGTGCATCACCGAGAATGTCAGCTCATGGGCGGTAAATTCTAGCAGCAGACCTCCTCTGGAAATCTAAGGTGGTAAAGACTTTCAAAGCGTCACCTATGGATAGTAAAATTTACGTTTGTTGCTGCTGCACGGGCGCGCGCAAGTTTAAAGTGTGACATGTTTGGTATCTATTTACTCATCGTTTTTATTTTGCTAAAAATTGGGTTTAGTATTGTATTTTTTTTTGCATTAAAATTTTAAAAAAAGTGTATTTTCCCCCATATATCACATAAAAAAAATTGCAAAACCCACCAATTTATTGGTGAAAAAAAAATACGTTTGGGGGTTATAAGAAATGTTATAGCACTTTAACCACTTCCAGTCCGGACACTTTCACCCCCTTCCAGTCCGGACACTTTCCCCCCCCCCTTCCAGTCCGGACACTTTCCCCCCCTTCCAGTCCGGACACTTTCCCCCCTTCCAGTCTGGACACTTTCACCCCCTTCCAGTCTGGACACTTTCACCCCCTTCCAGTCCGGACACTTTCCCCCCCTTCCAGTCCGGACACTTCCCCCCCTTCCAGTCCGGACGCTTCCCCCCCCCCCCCCCAGTCCGGACGCTCCCCCCCCCCTTCCAGTCCGGACACTTTCACCCCCTTCCAGTCCGGACACTTTCCCCCCCCCTTCCAGTCCGGACACTTTCCCCCCCTTCCAGTCCGGACGCTTCCCCCCCTTCCAGTCCGGACACTTTCACCCCTTTCCAGTCCGGACACTTTCCCCTCCTTCCAGTCCGGACACTTTCCCCTCCTTCCAGTCCGGACACTTTCCCCTCCTTCCAGTCCAGGCCAATTTCCAGCTTTCAGCGCTATCACACTTTGAATGACAATTGCGCGTCATGCAACACTACCCATATGAATTTTTTTAGCTTTTTTTGAGACAGATAAAACTTTATTTTGGTGGTCTTTATTCACCTCTGGGATTTTTTTTTTTTTGCTATATAAATGAAAAAGTCCAAAAATTTTGAAAAAAAGTGTTTTTCTTATAAAATTTTGTAAACAAATAATCTTTCTTCATAAATCATGGCCAAAATTTATTCAGTTATCTTTTTATTAAAAAAAAAAAATAACCCAAATTAGTTTATAACCAAAAAGTATAATTTTTCATATTTTATTTTTACATTTTTATTTTATTTTTTTTTTATATTATTATTTATGTTTATTTTTTTTTTTTTACATACCGTCACCCTAGCAGTACAGTGTCACCATGGTGACACTGTACTACTTGTGGGGGTGAAGATTTTTTTTTTTTTTTACACTGCTTTTACACCCATAAAGGCTGTAAAATCAATAATTTCTCCTCTCTGGCTGCATTCTTGCAGCCATTGAGAAATGCTGTGTGAGCTGTGATTGGTCACAGCTTGTCACATGGTACAAGGCTGTTGTGAATAGCCTTGTACCATGTGACCTCTGTGATCATTCACAGATTTCACACGTAGTAAGCAATGATGGCAGAAGTGACATCTTACCTACTACTCTATATGTGATCACTGATTGGCCAATCAGTGATCACATGATCAGGACCTCGCACTGAGGTCCTGTACAACGATTGGTGTTCCACTGTGTCTGGAGGGTCGCTTGTCACATGGTTCAAGGCAGTTTTAAATGGCCCTGTACCATGTGATCTCTGTGATCATTCACAGATTTCACACGTAGTAATGATGTCAGGAAGCGACATCTTGCGTACTCCTATTCATGTGATCACTTATCGGCCAATCAGTGATCACATGATTGGGACCTCACACAGAGGTCTCGTACAGTGATCGCGGTCCCAGGGAGCACGCACAGGCTAAAAATGGTGGGCGCCATTTATGAACGGCAACCCGTTCCTGCACTGCTCGCTTCCGGCCGTTTATGGACATGGGCCAGACGGGAAGTGGGTAAGTCGCCATAAAGCTCCTCATCAAACCTTCATATTTTCCAAACTGGCAAAAAATGTCGTTGTTTTTTTTTTCCATCAGGACAAGCAGATTGGGTCCCTGATTTAGTCCCTGGGAAAAGTCGTTTTTTAAAAAAATGCCCCCACCTCTGCTAGTGGATTCCTTCCGTAGTTCATGTTGGGGTGTAGTTTGGGTCAGACCAAGACAAAATGGCGGCCTCTCTGCCCTGTCCTTACCTATCCGCCACCTCCACTGCCCCTTTTTGCCTTTGCGTTCTCCCTCCTCTTCACCTCTGTGGCCCCGGGAGTCCCGGCTCAGCCCGTGTCGCTCCCTCTGCCTTTCAAACATCAATTCACTCCGCGGTTTCTTCAGGACGTACTCCTCGGCCTTCAGCATGATCCCCAGGGAGCTCTTCCTCCTCTCCTTCGGCGTCTCGCCTTCTTCCTCGCACGGCTCGACCTTCATGTGGAGGTATCAGTGTGGTACGACCTCCAGGAGCCTCTGCAAGATGGACTCCATGTTATTCCTGGGGGCTCCAGACACAGCAACACAATGAATGGATGGAGATGACTGGATGGATGTGTGTGTAGGATGGAGATGACTGGATGGAGGTGTGTGTAGGATGGAGATGACTTTGTGTGAAGGATGGAGATGACTGAAAGCCATCTCCACCAGTAAGGGACCCCATATGGCTGCTACTCCCCCCCCCCCCCCCCCAAAAAAAACAGAGAAACCTTTAGTCCTCCTGTACACGGGACGTTTTTACAGCGGCTGTTTTTGGCTTTTGATGTTTTTTCCTACAGCCAGTAAACCCCCCCAGCATGTTCTCCTATGTGTCCATCCCCAGCATGTTCTCCCTATGTGTCCATCCCCAGCATGTTATCCTATGTGTCCATCCCCGGCGTGTTATCCCATGTGTCCATCCCCGGCATGTTATCCTACGTGTCTATCCCCGGCATGTTATCCTACGTGTCCATCCCCGGCATGTTATCCTACGTGTCCATCCCCGGCATGTTATCCTACGTGTCCATCCCCGGCATGTTATCCCATGTGTCCATCCCCGGCATGTTATCCCATGTGTCCATCCCCGGCATGTTATCCCATGTGTCCATCCCCGGCATGTTATCCCATGTGTCCATCCCCGGCATGTTCTCCCATGTGTCCATCCCCGGCATGTTATCCCATGTGTCCATCCCCGGCATGTTATCCTATGTGTCCATCCCCGGCGTGTTCTCCTATGTGTCCATCCCCGGCGTGTTCTCCTATGTGTCCATCCCCGGCGTGTTCTCCTATGTGTCCATCCCCGGCGTGTTATCCTATGTGTCCATCCCCGGCGTGTTCTCCTATGTGTCCATCCCCGGCGTGTTATCCTATGTGTCCATCCCCGGCATGTTCTCCTATGTGTCCATCCCCGGCGTGTTCTCCTATGTGTCCATCCCCGGCGTGTTATCCTATGTGTCCATCCCCGGCATGTTCTCCTATGTGTCCATCCCCAGCATGTTCTCCTATGTGTCCATCCACAGCATGTTATCCTATGTGTCCATCCCCGGCGTGTTCTCCTATGTGTCCATCCCCGGCGTGTTCTCCTATGTGTCCATCCCCGGCGTGTTATCCTATGTGTCCATCCCCGGCATGTTCTCCTATGTGTCCATCCCCAGCATGTTCTCCTATGTGTCCATCCACAGCATGTTATCCTATGTGTCCATCCCTGGCATGTTATCCTATGTGTCCATCCCCGGCATGTTATCCTACGTGTCCATCCCCGGCATGTTATCCTATGTGTCCATCCCCGGCATGTTATCCTACGTGTCCATTCCCGGCATGTTATCCTATGTGTCCATCCCCGGCATGTTATCCTATGTGTCCATAAACACATAGACTGGAAAAAAACCCAGGACTAATGGGTTTCTAGAAGAGTTCTTTAGCTGTAAAAATGCTTTACACTGAAAAAACAGCAAAAATGCGGTAAAAATGCCGCAAACCGGAGTTTTTGGACTTTTTTTGACCAAAAAAAAAACGCTAAAGAACCCTAAAAACTGCAAACACAAAAAAAACACTGCTAAACGCTAATGCAATAATGCTAAAAAAAGCTTAAAAACTCACATTTTTAATGTGACTTTACACAGCTAATGTTACCAAAACGTCCCGTGTGTGTTAGCCTTAGCCATCTCCTGTATCATGTCTGCAGTCTCTGACCATCTCCTGTATCATGTCTGCAGTCTCTGACCATCTCCTGTATCATGTCTGCAGTATCTGACCATCTCCTATACCATGTCTGCAGTCTCTGACCATCTCCTGTATTATGTCTGCAGTCTCTGATCTTTTTCTGTAGCAAGTCTGCAGTCTCTGACCATCTCCTGTATTATATCTGCAGTCTCTCACCATCTCCTGTAGTATGTCTGCAGTCTCTGACCATCTCCTGTATTATGTCTGCAGTCTCTCACCATCTCCTGTAGTATGTCTGCAGTCTCTGACCATCTCCTGTAGTATGTCTGCAGTCTCTGACCATTCCTGTAGTATGTCTGCAGTCTCTCACCATCTCCTGTTGTATGTCTGCAGTCTCTGGTCCTCTCCTGTAGTATTTCTGCAGTCTCTGACCATCTCCTGTAGTATGTCTGCAGTCTCTCACCATCTCCTGTAGTATGTCTGCAGTCTCTCACCATCTCCTGTTGTATGTCTGCAGTCTCTGGTCATCTCCTGTAGTATTTCTGCAGTCTCTGACCATCTCCTGTAGTATGTCTGCAGTCTCTGGTCATCTCCTGTAGTATGTCTGCAGTCTCTGGTCTCCTGTAGTATTTCTGCAGTCTCTGACCATCTCCTGCAGTATGTCTGCAGTCTCTCACCATCTCCTGTAGTATGTCTGCAGTCTCTGACCATCTCCTGTAGTATGTCTGCAGTCTCTGATCTTCTTCTGTATTATGTCTGCAGTCTCTGACCATCTCTTGTATTATGTCTGCAGTCTCTGACCATCTCCTGTAGTATGTCTGCAGTCTCTGACCATCTCCTGTAGTATGTCTGCAGTCTCTGACCATCTCCTGTAGTATGTCTGCAGTCTCTGGTCATCTCCTGTAGTATTTCTGCAGTCTCTGACCATCTCCTGTAGTATGTCTGCAGTCTCTGACCATCTCCTGTAGTATGTCTGCAGTCTCTGGTCATCTCCTGTAGTATTTCTGCAGTCTCTGACCATCTCCTGTAGTATGTCTGCAGTCTGTGACCATCTCCTGTAGTATGTCTGCAGTCTGTGACCTTCTCCTGTAGTATGTCTGCAGTCTCTGGTCATCTCCTGTACTATGTCCGCAGTCTCTGGCCGTCTCCTGTAGTATGTCTGCAGTCTCTGACCATCTCCTGTAGTATATCTGCAGTCTCTGACCATCTCCTGTAGTATGTCTGCAGTCTCTGACTATCTTCTGTAGTATGTCTGCAGTCTCTGACCATTTCCTGTAGTATGTCTGCAGTCTCTGACCATTTCCTGTAGTATGTCTGCAGTCTTTGGCCTTCTCCTGTAGTATGTCTGCAATCTCTGGTAATCTCCTGTAGTATGTCTGCAGTCTGTGACCATCTCCTGTAGTAAGTCTGCAGTCTCTGCCCATCTCCTGTAGTATGTCTGCAGTCTGTGACCTTCTCCTGTAGTATGTCTGCAGTCTCTGGTCATCTCCTGTATTATGTCTGCAGTCTCTGACCATCTCCTGTAGTAAGTCTGCAGCCTCTGACCATCTCCTGTACTATGTTTGGAGTCTCTGACCATCTCCTGTAGTATATTTGGAGTCTCTGACCATCTCCTGTAGTAAGTCTGCAGTCTCTGACCATCTCCTATAGTATGTCTGCAGTCTCTGACCATCTCCTGTAGTAAGTCTGCAGTTTCTGACCATCTCCTGTACTATGTTTGGAGTCTCTGACCATCTCCTGCAGTATATTTGGAGTCTCTGACCATCTCCTGTAGTAAGTCTGCAGTCTCTGACCATCTCCTATAGTATGTCTGCAGTCTCTGACCATCTCCTGTAGTAAGTCTGCAGTTTCTGACCATCTCCTGTACTATGTTTGGAGTCTCTGACCATCTCTTATAGTATGTTTTTGTTGTATTTTAAATGCAGTCTGTGTGCCCATAGAGGAGATTTTCTCTCTTTCTGCTTTGGCTTCCATCACCTGGACAGGAAGTGAGAAGTATTCCCCCTCATGGGGACGTACTGTAGTCCTGACAGATGTTGGAGTGTTATTGCTGTCTCTATCCCCATTGAGGGTCTCATTTCTTGCTCTCTTTGACCCGTCATGTAGGGATGCAAGGACAGGCTAGTGATCTAGTAATATCAGCAATGGGTGTAGCTCTGGGGACTGGGGTCAGGGGTGACAGATCTAGGAGGAACCATCATTGTATTCTGCAGGCTGTCAGGTCAGGGGTGACAGAACTACGAGGAACCATCATTGTGTTCTACAGGCTGTCAGGTCAGGGTTGACAGATCTAGGAGGAACCATCATTGTATTCTGCAGGCTGTCAGGTCAGGGTTGACAGATCTAGGAGGAACCATCATTGTATTCTGCAGGCTGTCAGGTCAGGGGTGACAGAACTAGAAGGAACCATCATTGTGTTGCAGGCTGTCAGGCTGGGGTCAGGTCAGGTCAGGGTTGACAGATCAGGACAGGTATGAGTCAGATCTATCATTGTATTCTGCAGGCTGTCAGGTCAGGTCAGGGTTGACAGATCTAGGAGGAACTATCATTGTATTCTGCAGGCTGTCAGGTCAGGTCAGGGGTGACAGAACTAGGAGGAACCATCATTGTATTCTGCAGGCTGTCAGGTCAGTCAGGTCAGGGGTGACAGAACTAGTAGGAACCATCATTGTGTTCTGCAGGCTGTCAGGTCAGGTCAGGTCAGGGAGGCAGAACTAGGAGGAACCATCATTGTGTTCTGCAGGCTGTCAGGTCAGGTCTGGGGTGACAGATCTAGGAGGAACCATCATTGTATTCTGCAGGCTGTCAGGTCAGGTCAGGGGAGACAGAACTAGGAGGAACCATCATTGTGTTCTGCAGGCTGTCAGGTCTGTGGCTGGTCTGGCACAGTGTCTGAGTCTCATCATGGGAGTAGAATAGAGGATTCTTATCAAGCCAAGTCAATGAAAACATCTGAGCGTTCCGATTGGACAAATGCTTGGCTCACCCGTTTCATGGTGGCAGTCAGGTTGTGCGTGCTCGGTGTCCTCAGAGACACGTTCAGAACGATGACACAACTCAGCACTATCAGCGTAGACACGATCATCACAAATATCAGATATCTACAAAAGAAAGCAGGGTCAGGATCCAGTTCTGGGCAGGTTCTCATGCCATCAACAACCCATTCACAGCAAGGATACCAATATAAATCAGACCAGAAGAGTAGATAATAAAGGCGTATCTGAAGCCGACACCTTTTTCCTGGCCCCAACATGGCAGCGTACTACCACCTGTATGATGCCATGGATTGATGCCAGGAAAGAATTATGGTAAGTATTGATACAATGTTCCTTTTTTTGTTTTTGGACGGAGTAAGGAAGACCTAGAACCTCGGTCAGGTTTTAATATCCGTCCGTATCAGGGAGGACCACCCTCTCTATTTCTCCTGGGCTCCATTGTCACTGAGGCAGAAAGTGATGGGAAACCAAAGCTCTCAGCTGGCACCAACACAGAAACAAACATAATGGGTTGGGGGGACTTTGGATTTGCAGGATGGCAAGAGTTCAGAGTGGGAGTGGCCAGCATGTTGATGTTCATCAGCACGCCAATAAGCTTACAGGAGGCGGGGCAAAGACACCGAACTTGAAGAAGCGCGGTCTGTGCTAGTGTGGTCCCATAGTAGAAGGTCGCCATGTAGCACAGTTGGGGAATCATAAGAGCTCTACATTTTATGGAAGAAAAAGCAATTTGAATGGGTATGTTGATGTGACGTTATCTGTTGGCTGGTCCCATGCCCCGTGCTCATGGCCTTTGATCTCTGTTCTTATATTGGCTTCCCTGGAACACTGTAGGGTGGTCAGATTTGGAGTGTGTAGTGCTTGGGCTTGACCTCATGGTCAAGACTGTGGTCTCCAAAATGTGCCCCTGTGAATCCATTCCTCCCACTGATATGAGGCACTATTCCTCCCACTGAAACCTACGATGAAGTACCATTGCTTCCATGGACACCAACAATGGCGCACTATTCTTCCAATAACATCATTGAAGAGGCACTGCCCTTCCCACTGACACCAACGATGCCTTCCACTGATACCAATTGGCACTATTCTTCCCACTGACACCTACGATGAGGCATCATTGCTTCCATTGACACCAACAATGGCGCACTATTCTTCCAATACACCATAAAAGGGGCACTGTCCTTCCCACTGACACCAACGATGCCTTCCACTGATACCAATTGGCACTATTCCTCCCACTGACACCTACGATGAAGTACCATTGCTTCCATGGACACCAACAATGGCGCGCTATTCTTCCAATAACACCATTGAAGGGGCACTGTCCTTCCCACTGACACCAACGATGCCTTCCACTGATACCAATTGGCACTATTCCTCCCACTGACACCTAGGATGAGGCACTATTGCTTCCATCGACACCAACAATGGCGCACTATTCTTTCAATACACCATTACAGGGGCACTGTCCCTCCCACTGACACCAAGATGCCTTCCACTGATACCAATCAGCACATCCCTGTGCTGAGTTCTCAGGTCTATACATCTGCTGTGCCCATTATGAGGGTTCCCACCATCCCTGTGCTAAGTTCCCAAGTCTGTACATCTGCTGTGCCCATTATGAGGGTTCCGACCTTTCCTGTGCTGAGTTCCCGGGTGTGTAAACCTGCTGTGCTCATCAGGAGGGATCCCAACCATCCCTGTGCCGAGTTCTCGGTTCTGCACACCCACTGTGCCCATTATGAGGGGTTCCCACCATCCCTGCAATGAGTTTGTGGTTGGGACATTAGAGTGTAAGCTCCTCTGGTATAGATACTGACGTGACTGGCTCAGTGATCTCTGTACAGCACTATGGTATATGTCAGTGGAAGAACGCACTGGAATGCACCAGTAAAAGTGTACTAGTATGCCATATCATAACACGATTTAGTGCAGTGGTCTCCAAACTGCTACTTGAGAGCCAGGTGTGGCCCTTTACTTTTATATGGCCCTTGGGGCACTACTCCTGCCACTGACACCAATGATGGGGCACTATTCCTGCCACTGACACCAATGATGGGGCATTATTCCTGCCACTGACACCTATGATGTGGCACTATTCCTCCCACTGACACCAATGATGGGGCACTATTCCTCCCACTGATACCAATGATGGGACACTATTCCTGCCACTGACACCTATGATGGGGCACTATTCCTCCCACTGATACCCATGATGGGACACTATTCCTCCCACTGACACCAATGATGGGGCACTATTCCTCCCACTGACACCAATGATGGGGCACTATTCCTCCCTCTGACACCAATGATGGGGCACTATTCCTCTCACTGACACCAATGATGGGGCACTATTCTTCCCACTGATACCAATCATGGGGCACTATTCCTCCCACTGATACCAATGATGGGGCACTATTCCTCCCACTGATACCAATGATGGAGCACTATTCCTCCCACTGACACCAATGATGGGACACTATTCCTCCCACTGACACCAATGATGGGACACTATTCCTCCCACTGATACCAATGATGGGGCACTATTCCTCCCACTGACACCAATGGTGGGGCACTATTCCTCCCATTGATACCAATGATGGGACACTATTCCTCCCACTGATACCAATGATGGGGCACTATTCCTCCCACTGACACCAATGGTGGGGCACTATTCCTCCCATTGATACCAATGATGGGGCACTATTCCTCCCACTGACACCAATGATGGGGCACTATTCCTCCCACTGATACCAATGATGGGGCACTATTCCTCCCACTGACACCAATGATGGGGCACTCTTCCTCCCACTGATACCAATGATGGGGCACTATTCCTCCCACTCACACCAATGATGGGGTACTATTCCTCCCACTGACACCAATGATGGGACACTATTCCTCCCACTGACACCAATGATGGGGCACTATTCCTCCCACTGACACCAATGATGGGGTGCTATTCCTCCCACTGATACCAATGATGGGGCACTATTCCTCCCACTGATACCAATGATGGGGCACTATTCCTCCCACTGACACCAATGATGGGGCACTATTCCTCCCACTGATACCAATGATGGGACACTATTCCTCCCACTGATACCAATGATGGGGCACTATTCCTCCCACTCACACCAATGATGGGGTACTATTCCTCCCACTGACACCAATGATGGGACACTATTCCTCCCACTGACACCAATGATGGGGGCACTATTCCTCCCACTGATACCAATGATGGAGCACTATTCCTCCCACTCACACCAATGATGGGGTACTATTCCTCCCACTGACACCAATGATGGGACACTATTCCTCCCACTGACACCTAATGAATGATGGGGCACTATTCCTCCCACTGACACCAATCATGGGGCGCTATTCCTCCCACTGATACCAATGATGGGGCACTATTCCTCCCACTGATACCAATGATGGGGCACTATTCCTCCTATTGATACCAATGATGGGGCACTATTCCTCTCCACTGATACCAATGATGGGGCACTATTCCTCCCACTGACACCAATGATGGGGCACTATTCCTCCCACTGATACCAATGATGGGGCACTATTCCTCCCATTGACACCAATGATGGGGCACTATTCCTCCTATTGATACCAATGATGGAGCACTATTCCTCCCACTGACACCAATGATGGGGCACTATTCCTCCCACTGACACCAATGATGGGGCCTTATTCCTCCCACTGGCACCAATTATGGGGTACTATTCCTCCCACTGACACCAACAATGGGGCACTATTCCTCACCCTAAGACTAAAGATAGGGTGTTGTTAGCTCCCACTGACCACAGTTCAGCCTCTCTAAAGTATGAAAGACAGTAAACTGGCCCTTTGTTTAGAAAGTTTGGAGACCCCGGGTTCAAAGCAACAAAAGGCAGAAATCTGGCTGCGTCCTTATCCTTAAAGGGATCTTCCAGACACAGCATCTACCTTGACATGTAACCACCCACCCTGAGCTGTCATCTCCTATACCATCCTTAAGAGGGACTCCGGGAGGATCTACATTGGCTTATTTATTTGCGCATATTCTATGCGTATCTGGTGAGTGCGCACTTTAACCATATGCTTGCCGCTCACTTGGATTTTGGAATAACACCATATCTGGACTAGCATAAGTCACCCTGGGCACACCATATATCTTGTCCTTATCGTTTTATATGTATTCTTTTATTTGGGACTATATATGTTTGCACTTCTGAGTCCGTCTATTTGACACATTAGGTTTTATGTGTATTCTATTCTATTACCTCAGCGCTGCTCAATTTTTATATAGAAATCTGCAATAAAGCTTGTTAAAATCCTTAGAGTCAGCATAAATCACCCAGAGTGGATGTATTTATTTTTTTGGGGGGGACGGTGTTGTTCTCTACAAAGGTAAAGATACAATTTATATGGCCTCAGTGGTCAGTGGTGGGTTTGGTTTTGTTTATCAACAAAGCCATCATTATGACCCTTCACCATTCTCCATCTCATGACTGAACTGTCTGCGTCTTTTATTTCTTCGTTGACAATTGTACCCTCGGTCATTATAGCGCCTCAACAAAATACATTTTACCTGATAGTGAAGATGGTCCTAGGCAGAATTTTAGAACAACCAGGTGATGTAAAGTAACTTACTTGCCGATAAGTGGGACACTCAGAGACGTTTCAGGAACCTTTTGGGCAATCAGGAACAGGAAGACAACCTGAGCAAGGAGAACCGAGATGGAGGTGGTACATTTCTGACCACCGGCTGAAAGTAGACAAAGATGGGACAGTGACCAGAAAGAACTTCTTGTCCATTTCAGATGATCAGCTTAGCACTTTTACTGGACCTGTCTCCCCATAATGAATATTTTAGTTAGGAATGAATTCTGGGGACCTTACTCAAGCTCTGGCTTTTACCTTTTTAGGGAACTCGCCAATGAAATCTGTATTTTCTCTCCAACACGGAGATTAATGCAGGCCATAGATGGGTCGAAAATCGGCCGATTTTCGGATCGTTAGTGGGCTATTTGTTTGGCCGTTTTTCTGTATTTTTTTTTTATCGGTAAAGTTGGAAAAAAAATCGGCAATTTTGCCGATCGGCCAATTTTCACGGCAATGATGGGCAAATCGGCCGATTTTTTTACCCATAAAACATAGATGAGCAGTGGAGGAAGACAAAAAGAAGAAATAGAAGAGGATGAAGAAGAAGAGGATGATGAAGAAGAGGATGATGAAGAAGAAGAAGAAGAGGATGATGAAGAAGAAGAAGAAGAAGAGGATGATGAAGAAGAAGAAGATGAGGATGATGATGATGAAGAAGAAGATCCCGATGATGAAGAAGAAGAGGATGAGGATGATGATGAAGAAGAAGAGGATGATGAAGAAGAAGAAGAGGATGTGATGAAGAAGAAGAAGAAGGATGATGATGAAGAAGAAGCAGAAGAAGAGGATGATGATGAGAAGAAGAAGCAGAAGAAGAGGATGATGATGAAGAAGAAGAAGAGGAGGAGGAGGAGGAGGAGGATGATGAAGATTTTTGATGAAGAAGAAGAAGAAAGAAGAGGATGATGATGATGATGATGATGATGAAGAAGAAGAAGAAGAGGATGTGATGAAGAAGAAGAAGAAGAAGAGGATGATGATGAAGAAGAAGAAGAAGAAGAGGATGATTGATGAAGAAGAAGAAAGGAGAAGAGGATGATGATGAAGAAGAAGAGGATGATGATGATGAAGAAGAAGAGGATGATGATGAAGAAAAAGAGGATGATGATGATGAAGAAGAAGAGGATGATGATGAAAAGAAAAGGATGATGATGATGATGAAGAAGAAGAGGATGATGATGATGAAGAAGAAGAAGAGGATGATGATGAAGAAGAAGAAGAAGAAGAAGAGGAAGAAGAAGCAGGATGAAAAATGAGGAATTCCCAGTACGGCAAAAAGTGTCCCTGCAGAGAGCTCCGCTATTTCTTTGACAGTTCCTTGACATTTACAGCGGTTGCAACATTGTATCTATTTGTTTCCGAATAAAAACATCTATCCTAAATGGATACAAATAGATACATTGTTGCAACCGCTATAAATGTCAAAGAACTGTCAAAGTAATAGCAGAGCTCTCTGCAACACTTTTTGCCGACTGTAGACGGGATGAAAATCGGCCGATTTTTTTTACCATTGCTGGTAACGTCGGCCGCTTGAACGACCGATTTTTCATTTTTTAAAAGAAAAATCGTCCGTTTTTCTCCCCGTCTATGGCCTGCATAACTCCTCTGCAACATCAAAATAAAAGTCCACCAGGGAGAATGATAATCCTTCGCAATGATGGCACTAGGTAGGTGGATCTGTGAACTTAGGTTTGGAGTCTCCACCACTGGGGACTCACTAATACTCTTGGCCCTCATGTTCCATACACAAGACCTAGACCTCTGACACAGAGTACAAATCAGATATAGAGATGAAACCTGGATTAACTCTTCATTCATGTTGGTAAAACTCTGCTGATGCCTTAAGAAGACCATAAAGGTTTGTGATTTGTAGACAAACTCTAAATGAATAAATTTTGATTGCTAGTGGTTTTCAAACTTTTTTCAGTCATGGCAATCTTTTGAAGTATGCAAAACCTCGGGGAACCAATGAAATCTGTATTTTCTTTCTGACAACATGGAGGCTATCAACTCAGCGACATCAAAATAAAAGTCTACCAGGGAGAATGATCTTTCTCAATGATGGCTGTAGGTAGGTGGATCTAGGAACTTAGGTTTGGAGTCTCCACCACTGGTAACTCACTAATACTCATGGCCCTCGTGTACCATACACAAGACCTAGACTTCTGACCAGGGGCGGACTGACAACTCATGGGGCCCCTGGGCAATAGGGGATCATGGGGCCCCTGTTTCCTCACCCACACTCAAACCACACCCAAAAAAGCCTATGAAAGGTACCAGGGACATCTCATTGGGCCCACTACTGACCCCGGGCCCTTGGGCAGTGCCAGAGTTCCCTAATGGTCAGTCCACCCCTGCTTCCGACACAGAGTACAATTCTGACATAGAGATGAAACCTGGATTAACTCTTCATTCATGTTAGTAAAACCCTGCTGATGCCTTAAGCAGACCATAAAGGTTTGTGATTTGTAGACAAACTCTAAATTAATCAAATTTAGTTTTCTAAAGCAATGTTTCTCAAACCTTTTTCAGTCATGGCAATTTTTCGAAGTATTCAAATCCCTGAGGTACCCTCGTCTAAATAAGGGTCCCCGTCACATCAGGGTCCCCCCTTTCACATTATAGTCCTCAGTTTTCTCCCCACCTTTTCACAAGAGAGCTCTACCTTCTGATCTTAACCACTTCCCATTCGGCCCATGTATATAAACGGCCGGACTGGAGCAGTGCAGGAGCGAGTGGCTGTTTATAAACGTCCTCCCGCATTCCCTGCCTGTGCACGCTCCCTGGGATCAAGTGCCTGATCGCTGTACGGGACCTCTGTGTGAGGTCCCAATCATGTGATCACTGATTGGCCAATCATTAATAGTAGTAAGCAAGATGTCACTTCCTGACATCATTGCTTACTACTAGTGAAATCTATGAATGATCACAGAGATCACATGGTACAAGGCTAGGAAAAATGTCACCAGCACACCGAGGATCACCAATATGGGTCCAAAGGTTTTAATAAACAATCACATAGTTACAGCAAGGCAACATTTTGGAGTCTCGTAGGACACATGCCTGATGAAGGGGTCCTGCGAGACTCTGAAACGTTGCCTTGCTGTAACTATGTGATCCTTCATTAAAACCTTTGGTCCCATATTGGTGATCCTCGGTGTGCTGGTGACATTCTCCCTTGCTGATTCTGTTCGGTTCCAGCCAACGGTCGCTGCAGCACCCACTTATACACACAGCCATTTTTAATGCAGAAACGTGTACGTTTGGACTGTACACTTGTGTAAGGATGTGGGGTGTGGATAAATACTGATGTGCAATGTTAAACTGCAATATGCTCTTTGGTCAGTAGCAAAGTACAAGAATCGATTTTGCATTGAGGTTTACTAAGACAAAAGCTAATGCTTATTTACCTTATAAAGTTTAATGAATGCTAATTTAGGGGCCGAGTAGGTCCCTCAGAAGGGTCATAGTGAACTGTAAATGCAGGTTTGAGGCTGCAATTAGGAAATTACTTACTGCATCACAAACTCTCTGGGAAGGGGAGGAGTTCTGGTGCAGAGCAGGAAGTGAGAGGGGTTCTGTGTCTGGCTGGTGTATGCTGAGGACCTCTGGAGAATCTGTGTGGAGCCTGGAAGAGGATTTACGGCTCACAGTGGAGTCTGGCGACGGCACCTAGGGAAGATTCACCGCGACGAGACCGGGAAACAAGTGACTGTATGGTCCGGTTCTGGAGTGGACCAGTGGATCAGGAAAAAGCACCAAGAGCCTGCCAAGGAACTGTAAGTGCGGCTTTGCCGCAGCACATCACACCACATGTGTTCAGTGACTAGAAAGCTACAAGAGACATACTCCACTTTCCTTTGGATTACAAATAATATTGCGCAATACTTAGGGTGCACCCCAACGTTATATCTTGCTCAGGAACATTCAGGCGCAGCCAGGCTGCTTTCTGGACATTGGGGAAAAGTCCGCAAGTACGGGGTTAGTGTTAGACAGTATTATTACTGTATGGTTATGCGCTGTTATCATTCTGTTTACGTATGCTCAACTACTTGTTCACTATAACTGTTCAGTAAACGTAATTGTAAAAGAACCGCTGTCTGTGTCTGTGGGCCCAGCCCTCGGTTCTCTTTCACTTGCATGGTACAAGGCTATTCGCAACAGCCTTTTACCATGTGGCAAGCTGTGACCAATCAGAGCTCTCACAGTATTTCTCAATGACTGCAAGAAAAGGAGAAATGATTGCCTTTACAGCCTTTATGGGTGTAAAAGCAATCAGTGTAACAAAAAAAATCTTCATCACCCCCAACAAGTAGTACAATGTCACTATGGTGACACTGTACTGCTAGGGTGACAGTATGTTAAAAAAAAAACATAAATAATAATATAAAAAAAAAAGTAAAAACATTTTTTTTAAAATTATAAATTTTGGTTATAAACTAATTTTGGTTATTTAATTTTTTTCTACTAAAAAGATAACAATAAATTTTAGCCAAAATTTATGAAGAACGATTATTTATTTCCAAAATTTTAAAAGAAAAACACTTTTTTTAAAAAAATGTTTGAACTTTTTAATTTATATAGCAAAAAATAAAAATCCCAGTGGTGAATAAACACCACCAAAATAAAGCTTTATCTGTCTCAAAAAAAGCTAAAAAAATTAATATGGGTACAGTGTTGCATGACCGCGCAATTGTCATTCAAAGTGTGATAGCGCTGAAAGCTGAAAATTGGCCTGGACTGGAGGGGGGTGAAAGTGTCCGGACTGGAGGGGGGTGAAAGTGTCCGGACTGGAGGGGGGTGAAAGTGTCTAGACTTGAAATGGTTATCCACAGCACAGCTGTGGCATCATGGCATTGGGTGGGAGGTGGAGAAGGTCTAAACAGAGGCAGACTTCCTCCTTATACTGAATGCAGGGGCTGCTCTGATTAGCATCCATGGTGCAAAAATGCTGGCACCCATGACAACCACAGATGACACTATGGGGGGGGGGTTACTAAAACTGGAGGACTCAGAATTTGGTGCATGGTAGTCAATCAGCTTCTAACCTCAGCTTGTTCAATTTAGCTTTGTCAATAACCCCCGGTTCACACCTATGCGGCCATGCGGTCCGTGTTTTGCATGGGCATGAGAGCCCATTCTTTTGAATGCACTCCTGTGCCCGTGACACACAGGGAAAGAAGTCCCTGCACTTCTTTGGAAAACGCAGCCCACACGGGATCCTCGGTTCCCAATATGGATATGTTTTCTAGTGCGAGTGGCATGCCATTAGAACTAATGGCATCCACCCGGGGGTCCGCAATTCTCTGTGTGGGTGGTGCGGCTGCAAGGATTTTCGTGCGGATCTGCAGCGGCACCCCCCGCACAGATGTGAACCTAGGGTAAACCTGGAAGCTGACTGGTTTCTATGCAGACCTGCACCAGATTTTGCACTCTCTGGTTGAGTAAATAACCCCATGTATCATAGACAACTGCCGTTTCTGCCAGAGATCCCGCTCGGATGACGTCCTCCAATTCACTATTTGCTGCCTGATATACACCAACCTCTTGTGAGTTTTTTTAAACCTGTTTGCAATAAACATTTACCTTCTTACTACACTTAGTCTGGCGCACCTCTCTCTCCCCTATTAACCATTTCCATACCGGGCAATTTTACAACTTCCTGCCCAGGCCATTTTTCACGTTTCAGCACCCTCACACTTTGAATGACAATTGCGCGGTCATACAACTTTGTACCCAAACTAAAATTTTATCATTTTCTTCACACAACTAGAGCTTTCTTTTGGTGGTATTTAATCACCGCCGGGGTTTTTATTTTTTTGCTAAATTAACAAAAAAAGACCAAAAATTTTGAAAAAAAAACACGTTTTTCTTTCTTTCTGTTATAAAAGTTTACAAATAAATAATTGTTCTTCATAAATTTAGGCCGAGATGTATTCTGCTACATGTCTTTGGTGAAAATAACCCAAATTAGGATGTATTATTTAGTTTGTAGGAAAGTTATAGAGTTCAGAAACTATGGGATAGATCTGAATATTGATCAATCCTGAAGTACTGACAGCCAATCTAATTTCTTGAGGTCCAAGAATGTCAGAATAGTACAGATATCCCCCAAATGTCAGGACAGTACAGATATCCCCCCCAAATGTCAGAACAGTACAGATATCCCCCAAATGTCAGGACAGTACAGATATCCCCCAAATGTCAGGACAGTACAGATATCCCCAAATGTCAGGACAGTACAGATATCCCCCAAATGTCAGGACAGTACAGATATCCCCCATATGTCAGAACGGTACAGATATATCCCCCAAATGTCAAAAGGTACAGAACCCCAAATGTAGGACAGTACAGATATCCCCCAAATGTCAGGACAGTACAGATATCCCCCAAATGTCAGAAAGTACAGATATCCCCAAATGTCAGGACAGTGCAGATATCCCCCAAATGTCAGGACAGTACAGATATCCCCCAAATGTCAGGACAGTGCAGATATCCCCCAAATGTCAGGACGGTACAGATATCCCCCAAATGTCAGAACAGTACAGATATCCCCCAAATTCACCCCCCAAATTTTTGCAGAGTAGACAGTCCGACGTACTTCATAAGAGGAATGGCGAGTTTTTTGAAGTTGTATTTTTTTTGTCATTTTTCGGAAAATGAAAAAATAAAAAAAATTATTTTCACTATTTTTTTTTTACATACTGTCACCAGTGCAGTACAGCGTCATCATATAACTGGCATGGCGGTGAACAGGGACACTGACTGGTGACAGTATGAAAAAAAAATATATATATATATATATTTTTTTTTTTTTAATTTTTTATTACTTTTTTTTTTAAGATTTTTTTTTATATTTTACTATGACCAAAGTAGTACAATGTTAACATAGTAACATTGTACTTCTTTGGGGAAGTGATCGGTATTTTTTTATAGCAAAGAATTACTTTGCTATAAGCAAGCATTTACCAGAATGAAATCGATTCATTCTGTTTTTTTTTTTTTTTTGTGCTTAGCTGTGATTTGGTCACAGCTAATCACATGACATGTGCATGTGATTAGCTGTGACCATTCACAGCTAGGCACTAGTATACAATGGAAGGCATGAATGAAGCCATCCATTGTATACAACTGTCATGTGACCTGCTGTGGTTGGTCACAGCAGGTCACTTGGTACCAGCAACGGGGGTCAGTACTCAGATCTGTCATCGGCCGTGTCCGAGGTACATGGCCGGTGACAGATCGCGCCGCTGCGCGGCTCTGCAGGAGCACAAACTGCGCATGTGCGGGAGCACCCGAAATGCTGAAGCACTTTTGCAGCCGCCAAACGGCCATTGGCGGCTAATGGTTAATATGGAGTTGGCCTCCCATTATGGCTACAGCAGCCTCCACCCTTTTGAGAAGTTTTTTTTCCCCACCAGTGTGTCTGGGGTGATTTTTGCCCAATCAGCATTAAAAAGAATTTGGAAGCTTGGGTACCGATGTTGGAGAAGACCTGGCTCCCAATCGGCATTCCAATTTATCACAACGGTGTCCAGAAGGTTTGAGGTTAGGGCTTTGTGGGCCACACCAATCTCATGAAACTATTGCATGAGCAAAGTCATGCTAAAAACTGTAAAGGTCTTTCCTCAAACTGTTGGCACAAGGTTAGAGGTGTACAAACTAAAATGCTGTAGAAATAACAGTACCCTTCACTGGAAACACCAGAACTCAATAATTTGGAGAGGATGTTAGCCATCTAGCATATTTTTCTCTCCTTCCAAAGGGTCCCCTTATTTCTTTTTTGGTGACCTGAGACCTTAAAATCTGAGGGGATGCTAGCCATCTAATGTATTTTCCTCCCATTTCAAAGGGTCCCTTCATTTCTCTTTTGGTGACCTAAGATCCTTCTCACCGAATCTTATGAGCCATATGTTTATCACTTATTGCTTACTCCATCTCAGCCCACCTGGTGGTTGTCTCACCTTTGGCTGGCAGAAAATAGACCAACACTACCAAGGAGGAGATGAGGACACACGGTACGATGATGTTGACAATGTAGAAAAGTGGCTTCCTTTGAATAATAAGCCCAAAATTAATCTCCTGATATTGAAGGTCGTCCTCCGTATAGCGATGGTTCAGATACTTCCATGCAGGGCAGTGCTTTATTGCCCATTCACCGTTTTCTGAATGTAGCATGAAGTGGTAGACAAGAAACAAAAAAAAAAAAAAACTAGGAGAGGTTAATAGATGGACAACCAATGGTGGAAGATGGAAAGCAAAATAGTATGGTATTACCTGTGAAAGCCTCAGGGTCAATGTCCACCCGCTCCAACAGCTCCCCGCTCTCGCCAAAAGCCAAAAGAAGACTGATTTCTTTAGCGTTGTATGTTTTTGATCTACAGGAAGGAGGCGCCCAGGAGGTATGTGAAGAAATACACAATGATGTTTCCACAAATGAATACATTCTGTTATCTGTTGTCACCTAAAATTCTTTGGCTGGCTCAGTGTTCTCTGTACAGCACTGCAGTATATGTCAGAGCTATACAGTATGTATAGTAATAACGTGAATAGCGTGTGACTGCTGTGGGGCGATAGAGTGTAAATTTTTGTGTATTAAAAATCTTACAAACAAACAACATAATAAACATATTTACATATATACAGAATAAATAACATAAATATATATAATTAAACAAAACTTCAGCATAGAAAGCAGGAACAGATTTTTTTTTTGCCGGGAAAAATATAAACAGAGCCAATCATATTTTACTATTATTATCATCTTTATAATGTATCTCAACAAACCTGACCTTCACCTAAACCCCCCCTCAGGCTAAGAAATGATGTAACATTGATCCCATGCATGCAACCTTTTTTCAAAAATCAGATTTTACAAAAATCTAGGGGACGTGAAAGGACAGAAAGAGAAGCCACGCTCCCAGAGACTGACAGAAAGTAGCTACGGGGACCTGACATTCCTCCACGCGTTTGTCCCGGCTGCCACCCGTCCTTCTCAAGACCCCGAATCTTCCCAACCTCACCCAGAATGTTGTTCACCACCACCTCGACAGGAAGGACTTTTTTGCGAATGGAAACCTGACACCGTGCATTCCACGTGGAGTAACGGACTACTAAGCTAACTAGAAAACGTGTCTCAAAATCAAAGTCCCGGTGAGTCTGAAAGGCTCCGTAAGACCATTCCGCATAACTCAAGTGGTAAAGGAAAGGGATCCCCAGAGCCCCACCCACCCGCTTGTAGACTTCTATATTGAAGGGGCACTGAAGCAAGCAATGGTCCATCGTCTCCTCCACCCTACTGCACTCCACTCTTGGACAAACACGGTTCTCCACAGAGCAATGCTTCAGGTTGCCCTTCACATAGAGTCTGCCATGGAACAAGAGCCAGACCAAATCCTGGAACTTTAAAGGGATTCTCTCCAGATTCATCAAACGCACACCCTCCCTCATAACTGGGCCTGGGCAATCCCTCAAGACCAATGGCTCGCTAAAGGCAGATTCAACAACCCTCCTCTCCAGGGCCTTCCTAGGAAGAGACTTAATTTCCTCCGCCATCACTCGCCATTGCCAAAGCATTTTCAGGCACAGGGAACATAAGCCGGGAGCTTACCATGTTGGACCCTCAGGCTTTTCACTGGCCCGCCATTTTCCCAGCTCCGCAGAAAAGGCCTAAACCAGGACTGGAAAATACCAACCCACCCAGGCGATTCCTCTGCGAGCATGCTGCCAAAATTATGTTTCAAAAACATTAGAGAAAAGAAAACCACCGGGGGCGATAGAGTGTAAGCTCCTCTGGTGCAAACACTATTGCGACTGGATCAGTGTTCTCTGTATATCACTGCAGAATATGTCAGAGCTACAGTATATACACCGATCAGCCATAACGTCATGACCACTGACAGGTAATGTGAATAACACTGATTATTTCAATACAATGGCTCCTGGAAGTGGGTGGGATAGATTAGACAAGTAAGTGAACATGTTATCACTGAAGCTGATGTGTTGAAAGCAGAAACAATGGGCAAGCCCAAGGAAGGGCCAAATTGTAATGACTAGGCGACTGGGTCAGAGCAACTTCAAAACTGCAGATCTAGTGGGATGTTCCCAGACTGCAGTGGTCAGAACCCACCAAAAGTGGTCCAAGGAAAGAAAAAATGGTGAACCGGCAACAGGGTCATGGGCGGCCAAGGCTCACTGACGCTCATAGGGAGCGAAGGCTGCGCCAAGTAGTCTGATCCAATAGAAGCGCTACAGGAGCTCAGATTACTGAAAAAGTGAATACTGGTTCCGATAGAAAGGGGTCAGAACACGCAGAGCATCGCAGTTTGTGTATGGGGCTGTGTAGCCTCAGACCAGTCAGGGTGCCCATGATGACCCGTGTCCACAGCCAAAGAGCCTACAATGAGTACATGAGCATCAGAACTAGACAACGGAGTAATGGAAGTGGGTGGCCTGGTCTGATGAATCACGTTTCCGTTTACATCATGCGGAGGGCCAGGTATGTGTGCGTCACTTACCTGGGGAAGAAATGACACCAGGATACACTGTTGGAATAAGACATGCCAGCAGTGGTAACATGATGCTACTGATGGCTTGGTGCCAGATACCACAGCATACCTTCAGAGTTCTAGTGGCACCTGAGCCTCAATGGGTCAGGGCTGTTTTGGCAGCAAAAGGGGGACCTACTCAATATTAGGTGGGTGGTCATAATATTGTGACTGATTGGTGTAAATGTATATTAACCACTTGCTGACCTCATAACCTAGTTATACGGTGTAAGAGTTTCACTCCTGCGCCGGATCACTTACCTAGCACGTGATCCGGCATTTCCAGGTAGGGGGTGTGCGCGCGGGCGCCACTGGCGACCTGGCTCTGCCGTGATTAGACACAGCACAAGCCGATCAGTGGGTGCCGGCCAATGGATGACCTCTGGAACCCGATAATCTGCGAGAGGAGAGACCGAACAGAGCTCTGCCTATGTAAACAAGGCAGAGGTCCATCCTATCAGTGGGAATGTGCTGGATTTTGTTTCCCTGCAAATCAGGGAATAAAATCCAGCACATCCTTTAGTGAAAGCAGCACACACAAAAACATTGTAACACTTGTAATCCTTTGATCGCCCTAGATGTTTAACCCCTTCCCAGCCAGTGTCATTAGTACAATGTCAGTGCATATTTAAAGCACACATCACTGTATTAATGTCACTGGTTCCCACAAAGTGTCAGTGTCAGATTGTCCGCTGCAATATCGCAGTCCCGCTAGAAGTCGCTGATCACCGCCATTACTAGTAGAAAAAAATACAAATTCCATTATATATACCATAGTTTGTAGATGCTATAACGTTCGCATAAACCAATCAATCTACACTTATTGGGATTTTTTTTTTGTACCAAAAATATGTAGCAGAATACATATTGGCCTAAATTTATGAAGAAATTAGACTTTTCAATTTTTTTTATTGGATATGTTTCATAACAGAAAATAAAAAATATTGTGTTTTTTTTGTCAACATTTTTGGTCTTTTTGTGTTTATAGTGCAAAAAAATAAAAACAGTGGTGGTCAAATACCATCAAAAGAAAGCTCTTTTTTTTGTAGGTTAAAAATGATATAAATTTTGTTTTTGTAAAGCATTGCATGACTGCAATTGACATTTAAACACTTGCCCCCCAGAGGATTTATCCTCCTTCCTGACCAGGCCATTTTTTGCGATACGGCGCTGCGTTACCTTAACTAACAATTGCGCGGTCATGCAACACTGCACCCAAATGAAATTTACGTCTTTTTGTTTACAAAAAAGAGCTTTCTTCGGTGGTATTTGGTAGCCTGTGCGTGTTTTTTGCGCTATAAACAAGAAAAAACTGACAATTTTGAGAAAAAAAAAAACAATATTTTTGACTTTTTGCTTTTAACCTCTTGGGCCTTGACGCCAAACGGCCGCACATTTGTGTGCCATTAAGAAAAACATATGTGCTAAGAGCACGCGCCCTGCACGTTCCCAGCACACATGTCTGGTACTTACGGAAAGGTCCCGATCTCCTCTCGCGATCGGGACCTTTCCCGATCATATAACTGCCATAACAGCGAATCACGGTGGTCACATGACCCTAAAACCCCACCCAGCTCCCAGCTTCTGAAACCCTTAAAGGGCCAGGAGGTGCTGGCCCCAAGGAGTTAACCGTTTCAATACCGTGCAATTTTACACCTTCCTGCCCAGGCCATTTTTCAGGTTTCAGCACTCTCACACTTTGAATGACAATTGCGCAGTCATACAACACTGTACCCAAACTAAAATTTTATCATTTTCTTCACACAACTAGAGCTTTCTTTTGGTGGTATTTAATCACCGCTGGGGTTTTTATTTTTTGCTAAATTAACAAAAAAAGACCAAAAATTTTGAAAAAAAAAAAAACACATTTTTTCTTTGTTTCTGTTATAAAAGTTTACAAATAAATAATTGTTCTTCATAAATTTAGGCCGAGATGTTCACAAACTATGGTATAGATCTGATTATTGATCAATCCTGAAGTACTGACGGCCAATCTAATTTCTTGAGGTCCAAGAATGTCAGAACAGTACAGATATCCCCCAAATGTCAGAATAGTACAGATATCCCACAAATGACCCCTTTTTGCAGAGTAGACAGTCCGACGTACTTCATAAGAGGCATGGCAAGTTTTTTGAAGTTGTATTTTTTTGTCATAATTTTTCGGAAAATTAAAAAATTAAAAAAATTATTTTCACTATTTTTTTTTGTTACATACTGTCACCAGTGCAGTACAGCATCATCATATAACTGGCATGGCAGTGAACAGGGACACTGACTGGTGACAGTATGAAAAAAAAAATATATATATATATATTTTTTTTTTTTTTTTTTTTTATTATATTTAATTTTTTATTACTTTTTTTTTATTTTTTTTAAGATTTTTTTTTCATATTTTACTATGACCAAAGTAGTACAATGTTACCATAGTAACATTGTACTACTTTGGGGAAGTGATCAGTATTTTTTTTTTTTTTTTTTTACACAATTTGCTTATAGCAAAGAATTACTTTGCTATAAGCAAGCATTTACCTGAATGAAATCGATTCATTCAGCTTTTTTTTTTTGCTTTTTTTTTTTGTGCTTAGCTGTGATTTGGTCACAGCTAATCACATGACATGTGCATGTGATTAGCTGTGACCATTCACAGCTAGGCACTAGTATACAATGGATGGCATCATGAATGAAGCCATCCATTTTATACAACTGTCATGTGACCTGCTGTGATTGGTCACAGCTGGTCACATGGTACCAGCAACGGGAGCCGGTACTCGGATCTGTCATCGGCCGTGTCCGAGGTGCACGGCCGGTGACAGATCGCACTGCTGCGCCGCTCTGCATTAGCACAAACGGCACATGTGCGGGAGCACGCCAAATGGCGTTTACCCGGAGTGGAGAGACACATCTGAAGCCGCCAAACGGCCATTGGCCGGGCGGCTAATGGTTAAACATGTCCAGTAGAAAATTTAAAAAAATCAAATTTCATCATAAATTTTGGCCAAAATGTATTTTGCTCCATGTCTTTGCTAAAAGAAAATCCCAATACATGTAAATTAATTGGTTTACGTGAAAGTTCTAGCATCTAAAAATGGCGGTATAGATACTGGAATTTTTTTTTTCTTTTTTACTGGTAATGGTGGCGATCAGCGGGACTGTGGCAGGCATTCTGACACCCCAGTGACACCAATAAAGTGATCAGTGTTAATAAAAAGCATGGACACTGTACTAATGGCACTGGGCAGGGAGGGGTTAAAGTAACGCAGTGGCAAAAAGCAACAAATGGCCTGGTCAGGAGGGGGGAAAATCTTCAAGAGGTCAAGTGGTTAATAATAGGTGGGTACATGGGAGTGTAATCTCCTCCAATCTAGAGATGTCACTGGCTCAGTGGTCTATATAAAGTACATTGATTGCTCACCTGAACACCAGTGTGCAGTTCTGCCAATCAAAAGGGAAGTAGGTGACCTCCACAGCGCAGGCACTCCGGAAGATGGCCGGCGGGAGCCAAGACATGTAGCCAGTGCTATATACCAGGACGTTGGCGTAATACGCCACTTCAAACTGGCCATCGACGCTGAAAGACAATATGAAGGGAAGTTACAGAGCAGGATGGCCACTTTTCAAAGAATCCATTTTCTTTTTAAATCTTTTAGATTTGTATGAGGTCCTAAACAGCTTAACCCCTTCCTCTTCCTAAGGGTGAAACAGATCTTAAAGTGTTTCCGAAGATTTATTTTATTAAAAGAAAAAAAAATTACAAGCATGTTATACTTACCTGCAGTGTGCAGTGGTTTTGCACAGAGCAGCCCGGATCCTCTTCTTCTCGGGTCCCCCGCTGGCTCCTCCTTTCTGGCAGGTGCCCCCACAGCAAGCTGCTTGCTCTGGGGGCACCCGCTGCTCTGTGTGTCCATGCACACTCGGCCACGCCCCCTCTCTCTTCTGATTGGCTCACTGGCTGTGATTGACAGCAGTGGGAGCCATTGGCTCCCGCTTCCATCTCAGCCAATGAGAAGAGGGGATCCCAGGATAGCCGAGACTCCAGTGTATATCGCTGGATCAAGAGGGGACTATTAAGGGATGCTACACAGAGAAGATTTTTAACCTTCATGCATAGAATGCATGAAGGTAAAAAAAACCTTGAGACTTTACAACCACTTTAACGCCTAAGCACAATTTTACAACTTTGACATGTGCCAGTAAATCCTTACATATCATCACAACTACTTTGTACACCCGGGTGGATTATACCGCGGTTTTTTTCAGGACACATTGAGCTTTCATTTGGTGGTAAATGGTAATGGATAGCGCCTGATTTTTTTTATTACCAAAGGAAAATTTGCCCAAAATAGTAAAAAAAAAAAACAATTTTTTTTAATTTAGCTGTACATTTCTTGCTTCTACCATAGCCTACCACCAAAGAACAAACTAAAATAAATTCTCCTGCTCCTGGCGATCACCACATATGTGTATGTTATTTGTTGTATATACCCGTAGCACAGCCTAGCAACAATAGTGCGCTTTTTGCTTTTTTGCCTGTCTTGAAGGACCTTTTGCTGAACATCTAGACTAGAGAGCCAAGTTGCTTTGGAAGACCTTTTTATTTTTACTCACTTGTTTTCCAAAACGATGTCCGGCAACCAAACCATGTCAGATGAAACCCGTAAGATTTCTATCCCGCCGTAGTCTGACGTATTCCAGGTGAGTCGGTAGTCATCCCATTCCTAGGAGAAAGCAAAATATTTGAAAAACTGCACAGCAATCAGGTCTGATATACTGAAGGGCCAAGAGCCAGAACCTGCTGAAAGGACTGACGGAAGCAATGAGTGGTTACACGTTTTATGTTATTGTGGTAAGGATTGAATGGAATAAATTCTGACGTGACTTGCAAATTTATACACACTTACTGTTCAGTGTTTTCATGTCGGTTTTCTATACACAAATTGGAGATTTGTCCTCAAATAGCTATTGGTGTGTAATGCATATGAAATGACATGTTTGTCTTTACCTTTTTGTAAAGTATGGATCTATGTTTGTTCCAAGCATGTTTTTATTCACTTACTGTTGACCGACTCCCTACCTCTAAGACAGTGGTTCTCAACCTTCCTAATGCTGCGACCCTTTAATACAGTTCCTCATGTTATGGTGACCCCCCAACCATAAAATTCTTTACCCAGTAATTATAAGTCATGCGTCGTTTTACCTTCAATACGGCTGCTTTCAACACAGCAGCTGCTTTCAACACAGCAGCTGCTTTCAACACAGCAGCTGCTTTCTACACAGTAGCTGCTCTGTACACATCGGAAATATGTGTTTTCCGATGGTCTTAGGTGACCCCTGTGAAAGGGTCGTTTGACCCCCAAAGGGGTCGCGACCCCCAGGTTGAGAACCACTGCTCTAAGAGAAGTCTATATAAAGCATCAACTACTCTGTTGGTAAAATAATACTTTCTGAAGTTGAACTTTCCTCTTGCTAGGTTGAGGTCATGTCCCGGTGCTCAGCTTTATATTGAACATACTGCCCTACCTAACCTCATTCATATCCTTTACTGTATGTATTCAACCCCCGGTTCACACCTATGCGGCCATGCGGGATGCGTTTTGCACGGGCTCGAGAGCCCATTCATTTGAATGGACTCCTGTGCCCGTGACACGCAGGGAAGAAGTCCCTGCACTTCTTTGGAAAATGCAGCCGAGGTTCCCAGTACGGTTGCGTTTCCCAGTGTGGGCGGCGTGCCATTAGAACTAATGGCATCCGCCTGCGGGTCCGCAATTCTCTCTGCGGGTGGATTTTCATGTGGATCCGCAGCGGCACCACCTGCACAGATGTGAACCGGGGGGTGAATGTCTATCTATCCTGGAGACTGTACACATTACAACCAGTCAAGACAGACTGACAGAGGAGAGAAGTCCTGTAGAAGAAACTGGGTATGCATAGAAAAAAAAAAAAAAAAAATATAAAATATATATATATATATATATATATATATATATATATATACATACATACATACATACATACATATACATACATATACATATATATATATATATATATACAGTGGCCAAATGGTTAGCACTTCCGCCTGGCAGTACTAGGGTTGTTGGTTCGAATCCCAACCACGACACCACCTGCCTGGAGTTTGCATGTTCTCCCTGTGCCTGCGTGGGTTTCCTCCAGGTACTCTGGTTTCCTCCCACACTCCAAAGACATGCTGGTAGGTGAATTGGCTCCTGTCTAAATTGTCCCTAGAATGTGAGTTAGGGACCTTAGATTGTACGCCCCTTGAGGGTTAGGGACTGATGTGAATGTACAATATATATGTAAAGCGCTGCGTCAATTGATGGCGCTATATAAGTACTTGAAATAAATAAATATATATATATTATACACAGATTTCCCATTAGAGTAAGACCAATTGATATATACTGTAAAATGAGCTATAATAATATTGTTGTTTAACATTAATAATGTTTGAGGGGAATAATGAGTGATAATAAAATGTAATGTGCATTTATTCCAGAATTGTCCTCTTAACGCCTCTTACCAGTTGGAGCCATACATTAGTTGTCATAGTCTCCTCCTTCTCATTCTGTCAACGAAAATAAAATAGGAAAAACTGTTTAGCACTGATGTTACAAAATATATATATATGGTTACATAGTTAGTCTGGCTGAAAAAAGTCCATCCAGTTCAACCATTAAAAAAAAAAAAAAAAAAATAAGTAATAATCCTACACCCACAGGTGATCCAGAGGAAGGCAAAAACAAACAGCAAAGCACGATCCAATTTGCTCCAGCAGGGGAAAAAAATTCCTTCCTAATCCCCCGAGAGGCAATCAGATATTCCCTGGATCAACTTTACCTATAAATGTTAGTATCCAGTTATATTTATATATAAATATATATATATTTTGAAATCATTATTACTTTACAGCATTACAGCATTTCTTCAGTCCCTGCCCTCAAGAAGCTTACACTCTAAATCTGGGCTTTACACTTGCAATTCAGAACTTTCATTCAAACCTTTTTTGTTTTAACCCCTTCACGCTGGTGCCTCCCGGCCCTTTAAGAGTTTCAGAGGCCGGGAGGCAGGGGGCGGGGTTTAGGGATCATGTGACCACTGTGATGCATCGTCGCGGCGGTCGGAAAAGTTCCCAATCGAAAGAGAAGACCGGGACCTTTCCGTGAGTACCGACATGTGTGCTGGGAGCGTGCGCTCTCGGCACATTTTTTTTAAATAATTGAACGCAAATGTGCAGCCGCTCAGACGCCAGGAGGCCGCACATTTGTGTGCGGCCGGCGTGAAGAGGTTAAAACTTTTATTTGATTTTCTAACTGATAGTGGGGTCAATCACTATTTTTTCCACCCCAGTGACGAGAAAATTCGAAGCCGTTTCAAACAACATTCGTCAAGTCATCGAATGTAGTTAGAATGTTCATAGGAACGTTCATTCAAAAACCTACTAGGGTATGGCCAGCTTTTTGTAGCGTTACTTAGTTTTCCTAGGGATGGCTCTGAGAGCTGAGAGGCCACCTGAGGTTAACTGCAAGAATTCATGCACACGCTGTCTCCCAGCTCCAAAGTAACCATTACAATATCAAACTCTCCTGTAGCTGTTCTCATGGCTTCTATACAGGCTTTCCTTGAGACTGTTATGCACACTCTGTAGACAACATGACTATGGGTGACATTCCACCCCTTTACCTACAAAGACTCAGTAAGTTAAGATATATAACGAAAGAATTATATCTGGTATATGCAAGCCCAGGGGCGGACTGACAACTCATGGGGCCCCCAGGCAATAGGGGATCATGGGGCCCCTGTGTCCTCACCCATACCCAAGAAAGCCTATGAAAAAGCCAATGAAAGGTACCAGGGGCATCTCATGGGGCCCACTACTGACCCCGGCCCTCAGGCAGTGCCCTAGTGCTCGAATGGTCAGTCCGCCCCTGGGCAAGCCTGTACATCTACGGTCATAACTTATATATATATACATTTTTTTCTTTCTCAGGGGACTTACCAGGGAGATGAGGTTGGTCAGTGTGAGTTTCAGTCGGACTTCGATGATGTCATGGATGGATTTGACAGGACGAGCGTTTTTGTCGTAGTTTGAAAATAAGTCGTTTAACAGCTTAAGCTCCTCACTGGCCAGTGAATCTAATAGACAAAGGAACAGCCAATCAGCAGGCATAAAGTACAAAGCTCCACCCCCTGTGCAGAGGAAGGCAAAAAAGGTGGTTAAACTAAGTCAAAATGCTGTAAAACGTAGCGGCAATTTAAAAGAGACCCATTGGGAGTTCATGGGAGATGACGTGTCCTTCTTTGACTGTCACAGATTGGTAGCGGTTGTTGGGTGGGGTATACCCAGAATGCCAAACTCCAGGCAAACGTGAATGCATATTCGCTTGTATTTTCCTTTATCAGTTACAACTTTTCTTTTTTTTAGCTAAAATGGACCTGTGCTAAAATGTTAAAAGTCTTGATGGGATGGATAGACAGAAAATACCTGAAGGGTTGGAATTCTCATCTTTCCTGGGGAAGATGCTGATCAGGGATTGCTGTCTACACATGTCAAGGCCCAGGTCCTTGGTCATGTAATCTGTTGTGGGGCGACTGCCAGATTTCATACAGGCTGATCCTCACACATATGTGATTCACATGTGGACTCACACCTATCTGATCTGTTGGGTAGCGTCAACTCATGTGGCAAATGAACATGTGTTGCGTTAAGGCAAACCATTAATTTGAATGGGGTGCCAATAGACCGGAAAACAGACATGGACTCTTTTTTTCGAGGTAGTGCTCCAGAACCCTTGGCAGTGCATTACTGTGCATTGCAATGAGCTTCAAGGTGCATTGCTGTGCAGTCCAGTAACATTTTTGTTAATGAGTGTCTTACTGTCACTCATAGGTATAATGCTAACCTTAACTCTAACCCTAAAACTTACCACCCCTAACACTAAATAAATTCCTTCGAGTCTATACTTGACTTCTCACCACCAAAGCATAGGACCATCTTCCACCAAGAAGTGCTTAAACCACCCTGCGTCATAAAACATTCAACCCTCATTCTTAAAGTGTATGTCCAGGCATGACTCAAACGTATCCTCAAACCTCCCTTTCTCCTTATAGATCAGTGCTTCTCAATCTTCTAGAGACCAGGGCCCAGTAAATTCTTCCCAAACCTTCCTTCCATGCCCCTACATTAGTTTATACTCACACAATAGAAATATGTAAAGGCAAAATGTACTTTGAAAGGTTGGAAAGCTCCGGATGGGGCTGGGTGTCACTGTGGGCAGGACAAAGGTTCTGGAGGGGTCAGGGGCTTTTGACTTGGTGGTCCTGTGGGGAGGAGGTTTCTGGAGAGAGCTGGGGAGCAACTATGTGGGATGGTTTCTCTGGAGCTGGTTTTACAGGGGAAATTTGGAAGACTGGGGAGCATTGAGGGGGGCTAGAGGGCCCTCTGGAACACTGTTGGGTAACTATGGAAGGCTGGAAGCTCTGCAGCAAGCTGGAGAGCATTTGGGGAACTGTGGGGGTCTGTAGGAGGTTGGCAGGCACCGTGGGAACTGAAGGCTCCGGATGGGGCTGGATGTCACTGTGGGCAGGACAAAGATTCTGGAGGGGGTCAGGGGCTTTTGACTTGGTGGTCCTGTTGGGGAGGAGGTTTCTGGAGAGATCTGGGGCGCAACTATGTGGGATGGTTTCTCTGGAGCTGGTTTTACAGGGGAAATGTGGAAGACTGGGGAGCATTGTGAGGGGCTAGAGGGCCCTCTGGGACACTGTTGGGTAACTATGGAAGGCTAGAAGCTCTGCAGCAAGCTGGAGAGCATTTGGGGAACTGTGGGGGTCTGTAGGAGGTTGGCAGGCACTGTGGGAACTGAAGGCTCTTAGAGGGTATAGGGGCTGACCTTTGAGAGTTTGTTGGCACTATAGGAGTAAAAGGCACTGCGGGAGGTTAGGGGATCAGCAGCTGGCTGAAGTCCCAAGAGTAGGGAGGTGGTGGCCCAGCAGTGGTGGTTGGGAACCAGGCTTGTAAAACTCTTGCAGCAGCAGCTCCTGTGAGTTATTTTTCTATTACTGAAGACCCATCCCCAGAACTACATCTCCCAACAGCCCTTTGTCCACACACAGTGTGGAAAGGCTATTAGAAGTCAAGGTTGCCTGTACGAATGTGTAGAGGGACTGAAAGTGGAGGATAGGTGCTACATAGTCCAGCAAGCAGGGCTGACATGGCTGGTTGGGTTGTCAGACCAAACAGGATATTAGGAGCTCATTATATTTCTGGCACATTGACAGGTTTTTTTGTAAATGCAGCACTTTAAATAGACAGAATGTGGTAAAATGTGAATGTATTGCAGAGATATAATGCATATGTTTTTTTTTTTGCCCCCACATATACTTTCACGTAGAACCTGATCCAGCAAAGTAGACCTCATCCAGTACCTACAGGCCATAGCTGTTCCCAGCTTAGTTCAAATAAAGTGAAAATATAACAGCATTGGTAGAAATAAAATATAAAGGCAGCAATCTGCTCTACTCTATCTATCTGTTTAATACATAAGGGTGTATTCATAAACAGATTGCATAGCTATTTGGATATTCATATAAATTTGTTCCATATGAATGAGGCAAAATCAAATGTTCTAAGGCTTTAAAAACTCTGCAGATTGAATGCGTGAATGGAGAAAATACCACATTATGGCCAGCAGATGGAGCTGAGGACATACTTATTTGTAATCATGGGCAGCGCTATCTAGTGGCCATAATACAACGTTTTCCCCATTCACACATTCGATCTGCAGAAAATATAGCCGGAGAACATTTGATTTTGTCTCATTCATACAGAAGAAATTTTCATGCTGTTTGGGTGAACTCATTCACTCCCATATCATATCACGACTTGACTACTGCAACTCCCTCCTCACCGGCCTACCCCAACACAGGCTATCCCCGCTTCAGTCTATCCTGAATTCTGCGGCCAGACTCATCCACCTTACCAACCGCTCCGCCTCCCCCCTCTGCCAATCCCTCCACTGGCTTCCGATTGCCCAACGCATAAAATTCTAAATTTAACATTGACGTACAAAGCTGTCCATAACACTGCCCCAAACTACATCACCGACCTGATATCCATCTAGCACCCAAAACGCACTCTCCGCTCCTCACAAGACCTCCTACTCTCCAGTTCCCTGGTCTCCTCCTCCCGTGCCCATCTCCAGGACTTCTCCAGGGCCTCCCCCATCCTCTGGAACTCACTACCCCAATCCGTCAGACTGTCACCTTCCCTCCTCACCTTTAGGTGCACCCTGAAAACCCATCTCTTCAGAAAAGCCTACCCCGCCCTCACCTAATTGCTGATCTCCTCCGCTCTCCCCACCACTCCATCCCCCACAGCTATTTCCTCCTGTACCACTATCCCCTCCCTCCTAGATTGTAAGCTCCAAGGAGCAGGGCCCTCGAACCCCTCGTGTATCTCATTGTATTGTTACTGTACTGTCTCATGTGTTGTCTCCCATTGTAATGTACAGCACAGAGCAAACTGTTGGCGCTATATAAATCCTGTATAATAATAATAATAATAATAATGGACGAACAGCTATGCTGATTATTTATAAAATACCCCTCTTAGTATGCAGTCGTTATTTGTATCCTTAGGTTCCACAGTGAGTATAACAAGCATGCCTATACAGGCTGATTGTACTGTTGTGGGTTTAGTAACATTTTAATGTGCTTTAATAAAATGCGTGAATAGAGAAAATAGAGTTTTATTTGTGGGTTTTGGCATTCTGCAGTTTTCCTCACGCAATGTTTGGTTCTGATATTTGCAGTGAGGTTTCTCGTTTGATTCTTTTCATTGCGTACAACTGGGGTCTCCGAATTTTCCAGTACAAGGGCCACATCATAGATTTTACAAATATTCACCGGCCAAAAAAAAAAAAATCAGTTTTAAAATGAACAACTTAAATGTAAATGAATCAATAAGTTTTACTTGGAACATTTTTTAGTAATCTGCATCATATTATACAGAACACCAGAGAAAGAACTTCAGGAGAACAAATCAAAGAAATTCTGGATAAACTTGAGCCATCCATAAAAGTGGAAAGAAAGATAAATTCAGTCTGCACCTCTCACATCAGAGTTCCCTTCAGTTCCCTTTACGCTGGGGTTCCCATCAGAATCCCTCTTACATCCAGGTCCCCGCTAGAGGCCCCCTTACATTAGAGTTTCTCTTATATCAGGGGCCCTCCTTACTTTAGGGTCCCCACCAGAGCTCCCCCTACATCAAAGTCCAGCTTACATCAGGGTCCCCAGCAGAATCCTTCCATTCATCAAAGTCTCTATCTGGGACCCTTTACATCAGGTCAGGATCCCCATCACAGCCCCCATTACATCAGGATCCCCTTCACAGCCCCTCTTACATCCAGATCCTCATCAGAGCCCCACCTTACATCGGGGTCTTTATCAGAATCCCCCCTTAGATCAGGGTCCCCTTTAGAGTCCCCCTTTACATTAGAGTTTCTCTGACATTGGGGGCCCTCCTTACTTCAGGGTCCCCACCAGAGCTCCCCCTACATCAAAGTCCTGCTTACATCAGGGTCCCCATCAGAATCCTTCCATTAATCAAAGTCCCTATCTGGGACCCCTTACATCAGGATCCCCATCACAGCCCCCTTTACATCCAGATCAGAGCCCCACCTTACATCAGGATCTTTATCAAAGTCCCACCTTACATCAGGGCCCCCTTTGGTGTTTCCCTTACATTAGGATCCCATCACATTCCCCTCTTACATCATGATCACCATCACAGCCTCTTTACATCCAGATCCTCATCAGAGCCCCCTTACATCATGGTCCCCATCAGAGCCCCCCCCCCTTACATCAGGGTCCCCTTTAGAGTCCCCCTGTACATTAGGATCCAGTCATATTCCCCCCTTACATCATGATCACCATCACAGCCTCTTCACTTTCAGATCCTTATCAGAGCCCCCCTTACGTCAGGGTCCCCATCAGAGCCCCCCTACATCAGGGTCCTCATCAGAGGTCCCCCCTGCATTAGGCTCCCCATCAGAGTCCCCCCTTACATCTGGGTCCACTTTAGAGTCCCCCCTTACATTAGGGTCCACTTTAGAGTCCCCCTTACATCAGGATCCCCC